TTAAAAATTATATTGGTTAGGTGGTTTATTAAATTAACAGGGAGACCTCAAAATACATACAGAGTGGACGGAAATAGAAAATCTGCAATTCCGCATTTTACAATCTGTGAAACGCTGGGAAAACATAAAATAAAATGAAAATTTAGCTTCTCAGAGACATCGACGAATAATTTTGTATAAAACCTAAATGTGCTCGCTGCACTCGTATTTTAAATTTTTTTTTACTTCCCGAGCGTAAGCGCGTTTTCTCGAGCGTTCATGACTGTCTGTCTGTCTGTCTGTCCGTTTGTCGGTATGTCTGTTCATCTGTGTGCCGTCTGTCCGGATTTTTATTAGACAGATAATCTCCGAAAGTACTGGGCCGATTGTTGTCAACCAAAATTTGTCTAATCATCCCCACCAATAATGTGATGACGTCACTCCAAAATTGTACATAGTAAATGGGTTTTAAATGATATAAAATAACATAGACCTACACATGTAGTTTATGACTCCCGATTGTGTTTTTTGTTGAGTTTTTACCCGAAACGTCCAGGTTTTTGAATCTGCAAAACGAATGCTTTGAAATCTGGCGGATGTTTTAAAGTTATCATAAGCATGGTCAAGTTTTGATCAAAATGTATTTGCTCATCCCCCTTAAAAAAATGATGACGTAACCTCAAAATTTTGCTGAATAAACCCTATCTTAAATGTACCAAATATGATGAGTTTATACTTGTGATTTATTTTTAATATATAATTAATATTTTTTAAATTTGCTTATACAGAGTGTCTCAGAAAAATGAGTTTTATCTTAGGTAGATACTAGCCCCGCCCGCCCACCCTCTCTTTTCTTAGAAGGTATCTTATTTGCCAAAATCAGTCTTATCTTAGCAAGTACTAGCCCCGCCCACCCACCCTCTCTTTTCTTAGGGATATGTTATTTGCAAAAATCAGTTTTATCTTAGCAGATACTAGCCCCACCCACCCTCTCTTTTCTTAGAAGGTATCTCATTTGCCAAAATAAGTTTTATCTTAGCAAGTACTAGCCCCACCCACCCGCCCTCAATTTTTTCAGAGTGTATTTCGCTTGCCAAAATCAGTGTTATCTGAGCAAGTACTAGCCCCGCTCAGCCGCCCCTATTTTCTCAGAGGATATGCCATTTATCAAAATAAGACCTATCTTAGCAAGTACTAGCAAGTAGTCCTCTGAGAAAATAAAGAGCGGGTGGGGGAGGGGCTAGTACTTGCTAATATAAGTCTTATTTTGGCAAACGACATATCCTCTGAGAAAATAGAGGGCGGGACTAGTACTTGCTAACATAAGTCTTATTTTGGCAAATGCTATATCCTCTGGGAAAATAGGGGGCGGGTGGGCGGGCCGAGTATTTGTTAAGACAAAATTGATTGTGCCCCTATTAATTTTGTAAAAACTTCTGAAATTTAAAGGTGTTAAATTGCAAATTTCCATAGTAACGAGTTAAATTCCTAAATCTACCCGAAATGTGCAAAATATGATGAGTTCTTACTTGTGATTCATCACTGCATTCATATTTTTTAGATTTGCTTATACAGGTGGCTCAAAAAATGTAATGAATGTGTCAATTTATTTTACTGATTAAATCAGGAACCAACATGATCTTTACACGAGAATTTTTTGTGGATTTTTAGACAACTTTTCCAAAAGCTCAATTTTTCAATGCTACTCGCTCATATAAATTTTCACCAGTTTCAACTATTTTCGAAAAATTCCCACAGACATTTACTTGTGGATTTCGCGCTTTAGAAGTTATTTTCGTCTCATTTCTTCGATAACTCTTGTCATTTTTTGAGAATCGCTGATTGAAAAATGTGAATTTTTAGAATTTTATAAAAAAACTTAATTTTCCAACCCAATATCTCGACAATCTTGTATGTTATATTTTTCGAACCAACACGTCGAGTTCTATACACCAGATTTTTTTGTGGATTTATTTACAACTTTTTCAAAAGTGAAATCTTTCAATATTGCCCCTTTATAAAAATTTTGATCATTTTTTTGACTATTTTCGAAAATTAGGCAGACAGTTTTTTGTGGATTTCGACCTCTTTTTTTAATTTTTGGAATATTTGGAACATCTCGCTACGAAAGAAAAAACAATACATTTTTGGAATCAGCATGTCGAGATCTATGTCTTAGAATTTTTTATAAACTTTTCGACAACTTTTCCAAAACAGGAATTTTTCAAATACTAGCCCCACCCACCCGCCTATTATTTTCTTAGAAGGTATGTCATTTGCCAAAATCAGTCTTATCAGTCTACTAACCCCGCCCACCCACCCTCTCTTTTCTTAGAGGGCATGTCATTTGTCAAAATCAGTTGTATCTTACGAAGTACTAGCCCCCCCCCACCCGTCCTCCTTTTTCATGAAGGGTATATCATTAGCCAAAATCAAAAAAATGTTGGCCATTTTTTGACAATTTTTGAAAATTAGCCAAAGACATTTTCATGTGTTTTTCGACCTCTAGAATTTACTTACGGCTTCATTTTTTCGATAACTCTTGTCATTTTTTGGGTATCACCAATTGAAATAAGGCAACTTTTAGAAAAAATTTGACTTTTCAACAGATATTTCGAAAACCTTGTTCGGGAACCATAAACACACTTTATTTTTCGAATCAGCTAGAGAAGATCTATTTATATCGATTGAAAAATAGAAATTTCAATAATTTTGACATTTCGCTTAGGATATTTCGAAAAAGCTACCCCGGATAATAAACACGCTTTGCTCTTCAAACCAGCACGCCGAGATCTATCAACTGGAATTTTTTATAAAATTTCAGACTTTTCCTAAAGAGCAAGTTTTAGATTTTGACCATTTTTCGAACATTTTTGAAAATTAGTTTCGTCCTCATTTCTTCGATAATTCTTACCATTTTTTTAGAATCACCAATTGAATAGCAATTTTTGAGTTTAAAAAAAAAAATTGACATTTGGTTCAGATCTATTTATGTATCAGAATTATTTGTAAATTTTTAGACAACTTTTCCAAAGAAGAAATTTTTCAATACTGCTGCATTCTAAAAATGTTATCATTTTTTGACTATTTTCGAAAATTAACCAAAGACATTTTCTTGTGTTTTTCGACCTCTAGAAGTTACTTCCGTTCTCATTTCTTCCATAAGTTTTGTCTTTTTTCGAGAATCCCCAATTGAAATAAAGCAATTTTTACAATTTTTAGAAAACATTTAATTTTGCTAGGTATATTTCGAAAATGTTGCTTCGGAACAACAAAAACACTATATTTTTCTATCCAACACATCGAGATCTATCTACTAAGATTTGTTTCTTTAATTTTTGGATAAATTTTCCAAAAGAAAAATTTTTAAGAACTGCCTCCTTATAAAAATGTTGACCATTTTTCGGCCATTTCCGAAAATTAATCAAAGACATTTTCATGTATCCTTCGACCTCTAGAAGTAACTTTCGGCTTCAGGTGATTTTTAGAAGTTTTAAAAATTTTGATATTTCGTTCAGAATATTTCGAAAAAGCTACTCCGGAACAATAAACACGCTATATGTTTGCAATTATCACGTCGAGAATTATGTATTAGAATTTTTTTTGTAAATTTTTAGACAACTTTTCCAAAAGAGGAATTTTTCCCAGAAAATTTTGGGAATACAATATCGTTATTTTTTAGTATTACAATGCACCAATCCAAGTCGATATACGTGTCCTTGTAAAAATGTTGATCATCTGTTTTGAGGGGACGAACTCATTCTCTCATTTCTACGTGACATTCTTCCGATGTATAAACTTATATACTTTCAAGTTGTTTTTCTTATCTATATTTTCTCGATATTTCATAACCCCTAGACAAGACTGTGGCTAGTGGGAGGCTAGGGGATGCTGAGCCTCCCCTAGATCTAGACAAGTTATACTATATACACTGTATAATTAACAAAATGTGAATTACAACATCGAAAATCAAAATAAAATGTAGCGTTTTATTCAACAAGCGGAAGTCAGAGCAATAAAAAAGTCTGGATCGTCGGCATTGTGATCCGGTTATTGCAATTCGTAGTAAACATGTTTTATCCAACAAATCTTTAAATGTAGTTTCAATTTATTATTTAAAATATGATTTTACGTCGTAAAGGTTTGAAATAACAAAAAGTAGATTTCCTTCCATCTCGTAAATAATGCAGGATTGTTACTTTATCTTTCAGTTTAACGGAACTTAATGCAGACAAAAAATTGCACGATAATTGTCTTCAAAAGCACTACAAAAAAAACCAACAGCGAATCTTGTTTGGAATTTAGTTATCGTTCAAACGACCCTTTTGAAAGAAAATAAGTAGTGCAAAAATACTCCTATAGGCATAACATACTCACCCACGTTAATTGTTGCTTTTTAGTAGATCTCTATGTAAATTAAAAGCGTTTTGGGAAGGAACGGTTGCTTAAAAAATAAAAACACGCTTGAGCGGACATTTCCCAGATTAAAATATTGCCTTGGTAACTTGACCGAACTCGCTCCTACCCAATCCTGCCCCACTAACTAAAATTATTCGAAACTTACAGCGCTCTCTGGGAGCATTTGTTATTTAATTATCTTTGTAAGAGGATGAGGAAGCATAAAATGTTTCCTCCACTTTGAGGAAAAGTTTGCCAACTTTCTAATGCTAAAAATCAGCTCTATTTATTTAAAATAAAGCTCTCAAGTAGTCAAGTGCTAGATTTAAAACAATTTGTCACGTACTTTGAAGGATAAGTTGGAAAGATACAATTAAAATACTTATTACCAACATCGACTGTAATCAAAAGAAGGAACATAATTAGAATTGTAATTACGCGCTGTCTCGCAGTAGGTATCCGAAAATTCAAGACAAAGTAAAATGTCTTTGTTGCTTATAAACTTTCGAGCATTGTCACTATGCCGCGATAATCATTTAAAATTTTTCCCGAAAGTAAATTACTGTTTTCGAGAACGTTTTGGTTCACAGTTGGCTGCAAATTCATGTTGGTTAATTTTTCAGAACGGAGATGGTTCCTCTTGCGCTCATAATCACGACATGCTTAATCCACCTCACCTGGAGCTACAATGAAGAACTCTACCCCCTCTCCGACCCCGACTCCTCGTACCTCTACCCTGAAGACGTCCCCGACGAGACCGAATTCGAAATCCATCGACGCAACAACAACAACTTCCTGCGCTTCGGCCGAAGCGGCCGGAAGTACGACTCGGAGTACGAGGACTACAACGAGGACTTCGCCCGACCGACTCGATCGGGCAAAATCGACAAAAATAACGACTTCTTCATCCGGTTCGGGCGCAGCAAGCAGGACTTTTTGAGGTTCGGGCGGGACCAGGAGAGGCCTGTGCGGGCCAAGAACGAGTTCCATTTGAGGTTCGGGAGGAGCATGGAGGGGTCGCAGGACAGGAGGCGCAGCAAGAGGGACACCTACCCCGAGTACAAGAGGGCCGGAAGCAACTTTTTGAGGTTCGGGAGGAACAGCAACTTTTTGAGGTTTGGGAGGAACAACGAAATGGCCGCCACCGCTGATCCTGAGAAGCAGGAATCGCCGCTGATTGTCCTGTTGACTGAGCTCGTGGCGACTTTGAAGAAGGAGCAAATGAAGAATAATAGGAGTGTGTAATGTTGTTGCTGATGTTATTAATTCGTATTTGAAAATAAGATTCATGTGGCTGGATTCTGATACCCGCAGTATTATAACTTTAAATGTTTACTTTAAGTGATGTTTTATAAATTATATGTTAATAAATATTGAGTGGAGACTAGGTATATTATATTATTAAATATTGTTGTTGTATAAAGAGCATTAAAATAAAAATTCACTTTTTTTAAACACATCAGCTACTCCATTCATTGTACGACGTAAGGGTTACGAGAAAATTCACTTAGATAGGCGAGAGGAGACGTTCAACATTTATAGAAACCTCGTCTTTAGTTGGTTCATGACCTAAGAATTTATTTTATTATTTAGCAAAATTTTATTGTGATACTCCTGCACTTGTGGTGTATGAATCCGTGTTGAGTTTTCACCCAAGACATCCAGATTTTTGGAAAAAAAATCAAAATTGTCTTATAATATTTTGCAATTTAACTGTGAAACTGCAAAACCGAAAGCTCTGAAATCTTGCAAATTCGTTTATCCCCTCCTAAAAAATTGATGACGTCACCTCAAATTTTATGTAATAATACCGGTCTGAAATATGCAAAATATTTTGAGTTGTGGTATATCAATGTACTTACAGTTTTTAGAATTACTTGTACAGGGTGACTCAAAAAAAAAATGAATCGATTAAATCAGAAGCCACTCAGTTCATTTTCCCGAAAATTTGGGAATACAGTACCGTTATTATTAGTATTACACTACATTACACATACATTTTTATCTTTATTTTAAGTTCTAACAGTTATTTATCATAAAAGTATTAAATCTGGATTTATTTATCTTCGACCTTCTTTCCATTTTTTCATTTTCATTAATTTTTCAATTTTTCCATTTTTCAATGTTTCGGTTTCATAATTTTTTGCTCAATTATTCAAGTTCTTGATTATTATGTTTCTTTTTCCCGATTTTTTAATTTTCATTTTCTCGATATTATACTAAATATTACAATTTTTCGTTTTTTCATTTCCTTTTTTCAATGTTTCTTTCGATTTTATAATTCTTGGATTATGTATTTCTACAAATTTTCGATCTTCGATTTTTTTAGTTCGTCGATTTTCTAATTTATAAAAATTTTCAATTTTGCAATCTTGGATTTCTCAATTATGCGATTTTCCAATTTCTTTAATTTTCGATATTTTGATTTTACAATATTTCGTTTTTAGATTTGATATTATATCACCATTTTTCGTTTCCTTTTTTCAATGTTTCTTTTGATTTTATAATTATTGGTTTATTCATTTCTTCAAATTTTCGATTCACGATTTTTCATTTCCTCGATTTTCCAGTTTACAAAATTTTTCAATATGTATATTGCAATTTTTGGATTTCTCAAATATCCAATTTTCCAATTTCTTGGATTTTCAGTGTTTTGATTTTACAATATTTCGTTTTTAGATTTTGTAGTTTTTCGATTTTTAATTTTTCTTTTACTCAATTTTTCAAGTTCTGCATTTCCACTTTTTAGTTCTCACTTAGTTCATCAACTTTTTCGTATTTTCATTTTTGATTTTTCAATTTTATAAGTCTGCAATATATCCATTTTTTTGATTCCAAAATGAAAAATCGAAAAATTAAAAACCGAAAAAGTGGAAAATCGGAGAACTGAAGAAATGAAAAATCGAAACATTGAAAAGTCGAAATATTGGAAACCTGAAAACCGAAAAATGGAAAAATTGAAAAATTCCAAAACTGTGAAGACGAAAAATTAGAAAAACGAAAAAAAGCCGAAAAGTCGAAAAATCGAATTATCAAAAAATCGAGAAATCGAGAAATCGAAAAGTCAAAAAATTGAGAAATCGAAATAGCCCAAAGTAGATCGATCGATAAGTTAAAAATTGAAAAATCGAAAAATTTGGAATAAAAAATCGAAGAATTTAAAAAGCGAGAAGTCGAAAAATTGAAAGATCGAAATATCAAAACATTAAAAAACTGAAAAATCTAAAAAATAGAAATATGGAAGAACTTAAAAAGTGATAATTAGGTACACAAATCTAAAATTTAAAAAAGTGAAGAAAAAAAAACTCGCTAAATTGGAAAATCAAAAAAGTGAAAAACTGAAAAATTTAAGAGCTCAAAAGTCGAAAAATCGAAAAATTAAAGAGTTGAAATATTGAAAAATCCCAAAATTATACTATCTAAAAATTGAAAAATCAAGAAATCGAAAATCAAGTCGAAAAATCTAAAATTTAAAAAATCGAAGAATCGAAAAATTGAAGAATCGAAATATTAGTAAAATTTCAAAATTGAAATATTGAAAAATTGAAAAATCGAAGAAAAATTGAAGAATCGAAAAAGTGAAAAACTCAAGACGAAAACATCGGTAAATTGAGAAACCGAAAAATAGGAAAATCAACAAATCGAAAAATTAAAGTCGAAAAATCTAAAATTTAAGAAATCAAAAAATCAAAAAATTGTAGAAAAGAAATGTTGGTAAAATTTCAAAACTGAAATATTGAAAAATTGAAAAACCGAAGAAACATTAAATAATCGAAAATATGAAAAATCCCAAGACGAAAATATCGGTAAAATGAGAAACCGAAAAATTGAAACATCAAGAAATCGAAAAATCAAATTCGAAAAATCTAAAATTTAAAAAACCGAAAAATCGAAAAATTGAAGAATCAAAATGTTGCTAAAATTTCAAAATTGGAATATCGAAAAATTGAAAAATCCAAGAAAAATTGTAGAATCGAAGAAGTGAAAAATAGAGAAATTGAAAAAATCCAAAACTGAACTGACGAAACATTGGTAAATCGAAAAACGGAAAAATTGGAAAATCGAAAAGCCGAAAAATCGAAAAACCGTGAAATCTAAACAACGAAAAATTGAAAAACTGAAACATCGAGAAACGCAATTTCAAAAGATCGAAAAATCGAAGTCTATAAATTGAGGAATCGAAAAGTTAAAACTTCAAAAATTTGAAATTACAAAAATCGATAAATAAAAACATCGAAAAATTGAAAAATCTAGAAATCAAAAATTTAAAAATTAGGCAAATGAAAAACCAAAAAATGTAAAACAGAGAATTTGATAAAACGAAAAGGCGGAAAGTTGAAAAATCCAGGAACTTAAAAATCGAAAAAAATTAGTGAAACGAAAAATCGTAAACAAGAAAAAAAAAGTCTAAACTAAAAATTGAAAAATCGAAAAAACATTGAAAAATCAAAAAATTTAAAATCCCAGAACGGAAAATTCAAAAATCAAGAAATCTGAAAATCAAAGTCGAAAAATCTGAAATTTAAAAAACCGAAAAATCGAAAGATTGAAGAATCGAACTGTCAAAAATTTAAAAATAGAAAAATCAAAAATTTAAAAATCGGGAAAATGCAAAACCTAACCTTTTAAAACCGAGAATTTGACAAATCGAAAAATCGAGGAACTTAAAAATCGAAAAAAATTAATGGATCGAAAAATTATCAAGAAGAAAAAACGAATCTAATCGAAGAATCTTTGAAGAATGCAAAATTTGAAAAATCCGAAAACGGAAAATTGAAAAATCAAGAAATCGAAAAATCTAAAATTTTAAAAACCGAAAAATTAAAATATTGGTACAATCTCAAAACAGAAATATCGAAAAATTGAAAAATCGAGACAACATTGAAGAATCGAAAAAATGAAAAACTGAGAAATGAAAAAAATTCAAAACTGAAATAACGAAAAATTGGGAGATCGAAAAACCGTAAAATCAAAATATCGGAAAATTGAAAAATTGAAACATCGCGACAAAATTTCAAAGATCCAGAAATCGAAAAGTTTATAAATTCAAAAATTGAAAAATTAAAAATTTTAAAAATCGATAAATAGAAAAACATGAATTTGAAAGATCTAAAAATCAAAAAATTGAACAATCGAAAATTCGAAATATCGAAATATCGAGAAATTGAAGAATTGAAAAATCGAGTAACTGAAATATCGAAAAAATTAAAAATCAAAAAATCAAAAAATGAAAAAATCAAAACATCTAAAACCGAGAATTTGACTAAACGAAAAGTCGAAAAATTGAAACATCAAAAACTTGAAAAACCGAAAAATTTTAAATCAAAAATCGATAAATCGAAAAATTGAAAAATTCAGAACTTGAACAATCGAAAGATTAAAACAACGAAAAATCAACAAATCGAGAAACCGAAAAATTGAAAAATCAAAAATTTGAAAAATCGGAAAATTGAAAACAGAAAAATCTAAAACCGAGAAGTCGAAAAATTGAAAGATCGAAAAGCCGATTCATCAAAAAAATTAAAAATCTAAAATTTAATAATTCGAAAAATTCAAAAATATAAATATCGAAGAACTCAAAAACCGATAATTAGAAAAATTTAAAATTTAAAAAATTGAAAAATTAAAATCTCGAAAAATTGAAAAATGGAAAAAGTAAAAACTGAAAAGTCAAAAAATCGAAAAATGAAAGACCAAATATTGAAAAATTCCGAAACTGAACTAAGTATCTGAAAATTGAAGAATCGAAGAAACATTGAAAAATCGAGAATTTGAAAAATCGCAAGACGTCGGAAGCATCGGTAAATTGAGAAACCGAAAAACTGAAAAATCAAGAAATCGAAATATCTAAAATTTAAAAAACCGAAAAATTGAAGAATCCAAATGTTGGTAATATTTTAAAACTGAAATATCGAAAAACTGAAAAATCGAAGAATCGAAAAAGTGAAAAATTGCGAAATTGAAGAAATCCAAAACTGAAGTGACGAAAAATTCGCAAATCGAAAAACAGAAAAATTGGAAAATCGAAAAGCTGAAATGTCGAAAAATTATGAAATCAAAACAGCGAAAAATTGCAAAAATTGAAACAATCGAGAAACGAAATATCAAAAGATCGATAAATGTCAAGTCAAAAAATTGAGAAATAGAAATAGCCCAAATCAGAAAAATCCAAAAGTGAGAAAATCAAAAATTGAAAAATTAAAAATACCAAAAAATCGATAAACAGAAAAATCGAAAAATAGGGCAATTGTAAAACCAACAAATTGAACAATGGAAATATTGAAATATCGAAAAATTGAAAAATTAAAAAATCCAAAAAATATTGAAGGCTTAAAAAAATGAAAAATCGAGAAATTGAAAAAATCTAAAACTGAAATGACGAAAAATTGGGAAATGAAAAACTGAAAAATTGGAGAATGGAAAAGTCGAAAAATTGAAAAACTGTGAAATCGAAATATCAAAAGATCGTGAAATCGGAAAGTTAAAAATTCAAGAACTTAGAAACTGAAATTTCAAAAAATCGAAAAATTGAAAAATTTAAAAATTAAGAAATTGAACAAACGAAAAATCGAAATATGTATCAAAATATCAAGAAATTGAAAAATTAAAAAATCGAAAAATCAGAAGTTTAAAAATCGGAAAAATAAAAAACCAAAACATCTAAAAGCGAGAATTTGACAAATCCAGAAGTCTAAAAGTCGAAGAATCCAGGAACTTAAAATTCGAAAAAAATTAATGGATCGAAAAACAGTAAAGAAGGAAAAACGAATCTAACTGAAGAATTTAAAAACCCAAAAGTTGTAAAATCTAAAAATTATAGGAATATATATAGAAAAACTGTAACACTGAAAGATCGAAAAATTGAAAATTAAAAATCGAAAAACTGAAACATCGAATAATGAAAAATGGAAAAATTCTAAAATCTTAAAATTGAAAAAGTGGCAAATTTTAAAAATGATAAATATTATACATATTTAAAAAGAAAACTAGAAAACTTGCAAAGCAAAAATTGAAATGAAAGTAAAAATTTAAAAATAGAGAAACTGAAAAACCAAAAAATTACAAAATCTAAAGTAGAAAAATCAAAATTTGAACACCGAAAAATTGTAAATTGGAAAACTGAAAATTCCAAAAATTGAAAAAAAAAATCGAAAATCGGAACATCGAAAAACCGAAAAATTGGAAAGACAAAGAAAATAAAATGCTGAAACGAAAAACTGCAAATCGAAAAATTGAAGAAAGGAAAAATTGAAAAAATAAAAAATTAAAAACTAAATAATTAAAAAATTCAAGTCAAAAAAGCTGCAGGAATATTATTTATTTCACAGAGATCATCAGAAAACAAAAATTGCAAAAAAGTCATAAATTAGGGCGAAGCAAAGTTCGTCGAAACACACTTCAACCAACTTTTAAATTACCCTAACACAAAACCCAACACTAATTCCTCACCGTCGAATCACCAACGTATATTTTTATGAGAACAAATTCAGAATAAACATCTCAAAGTATCGCAGACGTCGACAGATGCTCATTTCTCAACATCTTCGTCTTTCATTTGCAACAGCATCGTTTACACAAATGTCAATTCAACTCACGAATCCAAAAAGTGGTTAAACTTAATTAAATTTCAATAACATAACTTTCGTTAAAATCGAACTATAAATAACCCAAAACATAAATTGCTTTTGGCAAGGCTTCAGAACTGCGCCCGTCGCATAAGGCACACAGACTTTATTAATCCCCATCATAATCACGCCTATAAATAAACAAATTTCATGTGGACTGACTTTTCAGCATCTTCGACGACCCGATGGGGTCGAAAGCGGCGTTTTGACGCACTAGCGCGTTCCAGTCCTTCTTCCTTTTCTTGAAAGTGGACCTGCGTTTGGTTTTGGTGACTTCTGTGGCAACGCCAATTTGAAAATCTTTCAGTATTCTGCGTTCGATCATTTTCCCCTTTCGTCCGACAACTGAAACCAAATTTTTATTTGTGTCAAAAAACCGCTCCTTACCTTGAGTTTCGTCGAAGGACATGTTCGGAGTGCTCATCCCGTTTTTGCCCAAAATATCCACAATGTCGTACCTCAAACTGGATATGTCTTGCCGGATTTCGATGACGTCGTCTTCGGTTATGCCAAATTCGTGCCGCTTTCGTTGCTCAGCAGTCACGAACCGCTTGATTAAAAGTCGTACGACGGCATCGTGGCGGTTTTTTGCGTCAATTTTGTTAGAAATTGTGACTCGTTTGTGTTTTGTTGCAAACAATCTACGAAACATGTCGGTGTTGGGTAGGATGTTGAAAGGTGGGGGTAAAATATCGCCGTTTTCGAAATAATTAATCCAGAGCCTACTTCTAGCGAATTTCCACTCAACGTCTGCACGTTCGGATATAATTTGGAAGGAGGTGGACATCATCGCTATTAACATGTTCAAAAGGACTATTATGTTAATAACGGAGTATGAACCGAACATCAATAAGGCCCAGAATCGTGTGAAAGTTTTGATTCCGGTTAGTTCGAATGACATTAGGTCGATAAGGCCGAAGCTCGCCCAAAATAGGGTCTGAGTGGTTTCAAATAAACTAAAATCGAAAGAAAAATACAATTATTTGGATTTCGAATCAAGGTGCAGGAAGCTACGACATGACTTGATTCGTTTCATAGCTGCCTGCAACCCCATTTTTCTCAGTACTTGGCATATCTCCTCCAAATCGTGCACGCCTTATCATGACTCTCAAAATCCGGCGCCTCATTCGACAAATGATAGCATTTATTTTTCTCCAGCTCCGCGTAATACCACAACAACTGATTCAATCCTGCAAGGAAGTCGTATTTATTTATCATGGAACGTTTCGCTCTAAAATTTTACGGTGTTTATGTAGGTAATGCAGCAAGGCTGTTTTATTTTAATAATTAGATTGACTTATTTATAAACGCTACGACTCTCTAGAGAAATCAAATTGAGCGTTTTTTCACTAATTCGTGCCTATTTTTACCAAACCATCCATGATAACAATTACGTACCGCACCCGAAGGCAAACACGACCAGCGTATAAATAAAAAAGAACTTTACTATGTCAATAATCATTCTGCCGAGTGATATTTGAAGTGGCCCCAAGTGTGGATTTACGCTGAATATGTGAACCAATTTTAAGAAGCTGCAAATGAACAGAAGTTTACGTATACGTGAAATCCAGTTTTCGTCAAGCATTCAGCAGGAATAAACGATTGTCTGCGCCTGCAGAAAACTGGAGGTGAGTTTGCTGTTTGACTAACCTGAAAATCATTCCTGCTGCGAAAGCTCCCTCGGATATTAGCATGGGCTCGAATGAGTTCCAGTGTTCGCGGGGCCGCCACGGATTTTTTCCTGCTGCTTCTGCGGACTGGAGGAAAGTTAGGGGGGTTTGGGATCGAGGGCGGTACTTGCCCAGGTGATGTAGAGAGAGCACAGTCGGGAGGACAACCATACGATGTAGAACATGTTTGTTATGAAGTCGACGACGTTCCATAAGTCGGAGATGTATTGGTCGAGGCCGATGTGCCAGAGCTTTCGGATTTCTTTGCACATTTTGCCTTAAAAAAAGGTTTAGGGAAAGGCGTTTAGTAAACGGAGGCGTGATTTCTAAACGAGGGACGTTTATGGGTCAATAAGCCGGCGTGATTTTTAAATACAATTTTAAAGCGCTTTTAAAAGCACTTTAAATTCGTACTGTTAATATTTTTGTTTGTCTTGATTTAATGAGGATTATAAAAAGGTGGAGTGTTAAAGATAGCATTTTTAACGCGCGAGTTTGTTCTATATATACAGGCGTTCCAATAGTCATTTAGAAATCTTTAAAATCATATTTAAATAGACAAGATCAAAATTGTATTTTTTTAATGAAACGTCCTGTATGGTATAGTAGTAGAAAATGTCCATAATTTTTGAGAAATATTTGCAAAAATGGTCAGGTTGGTTTCGAAAATACAAAATCAATTAAATTTCTTTTTCTCTTAACGCAGATGCTTGTTATCGAAACCTGCTTATATTATAAACATAAACAGTGTAAGTTACGCATTGAGAAAATATGTTTTTTCGTTTTTCTCCTTTAAATAAGGTATATTTTATATTGTCCACACAGACGGGATTTGTTGGACTACTTCAAGGGTCAGGGAAGTTCTGCGACCATTTTTTTTAATAAAAAATTTTTCAAGGTGATTTAGACAGAAGTGTACAATTCCACTTTTACTTATTTTATAATATTCATATGTTAAAAAATATAGATAATATTGATATACATTTTTTCGAAAATCTGAGGGCCTAGGGTAAAAAGTCAAAGCAGATTCATAAACTAGAAGTAGAAAAGTATGTTATTTTATAAACTTTTAGTTAGCGTTTTACAATTTACACGATATTTCTAATAGAAGTATAAAATTGAGAAAGGACAACGGACACAAACAAAAAATATTCTAAAAATTTAAAAATAGAAAAATCGAAAATTTTAAAAAGTGATCGAAACGTCAAAAAATTGAAAAATTAAATATTGAAAAGTTGTAAAACTCTCAAAATAGAAATGTTGAAAAATTGAGATATACAAAACTTGATAAATCGAGAAATCTAAAAAGCGAAAAGTCGAAAAATTTAAAAAGTCGAAAAACCGAGATGTCAAGAATTCATATCAAAAAATTGTAAAATCGAAAAATTGAAAAATCTAAAAATGTAAACTTTAAATATTCGAAATATTGATAAATAGAAATGTCGAAGAACCGAAAAAACGAAATATCTAAAATTTAAAAAAAATGAAAAGTTAGAAGATGTATTGAAAAAATGAAGGAGCGAAAAGTTGAGAAGTCAAAAATCAAAATTCTAAAAGCCGAAAATACGAAAAATCAGAAAATTGAAGAACCGAAAAACTAAAAAACTGAGAAATTGAAAAATTCCAAAACTGAAAAGACGAAAAATTGCGAAATCGAAAATGCGAAAAGTCGACAATCGAAAATTTTCGAAATCGAAACACAACAAGAATTTGAAAAACTGAAACATTGAGAAACAGAACATCAAAAGATCCAGAAAAAAAAAAGGAAATCGAAGTAGCCTAAATTAGAAAAATTGAAACAACGTCAAAAAATCGAAAAATTAAAATACTGAATAATTGAAAAATTCCCAAAACAGAAATGTTGAAAAATTGGAAAATCGAGAAATCGAAAAATCGGAAAGTCGAAAATTTTTAAAAATTGAAAAACCCAGATGTCAATAAATCGAACCAAAATTCCAAAAATGTAAAATTTAAAAAGTTGAAAAACTGAAAAATCAAAAACTTAAAAATTGGAAATATTGAAAAATAGAAATGTCGAACAACCGAAAAATCGAAATAACTGAAATTTAAAAAAAATTTAAAAATTAGAGTATGTATGAAAAAAATGAAACGAAAAGTTGAGCAGTCGAAATACTGAGAAATCGAAAAATCCAAAATTTAAAAAAGCGAAAATTTGAAAAATCGGAAAATTGAAAAACCGAAAAACTGGAAAATGGAAAAACTGAAAAATTCCAAAGACGAAAAATTGCGAAATCGAATAATTGGAAAATCGAAGAGCCGAAAAGTCGAAAAATCGAAAATCTTCTAAATTGAAAAATCGGAACATCAAAAGATCGAGAAATCGAGAAATCGAACAATTGGGAAATCGAAACAACGAAATATCGTCAAATCGAGAAACCGAAAAACCGAAAAATAAAAAATTCTAAAAATCAAAAATTTGAAAATCGATATCTCGAAAGTTCAAAAAACTGAAAAATCTAAAATGAAAAAATTCGAAATATTAAAAAAGTTGAAATATCGATGTACTGAAAAATGGAGAATTAGAAAAATATTACATTTTAAAAATTCGAAAAATTGAAAAAGTAAAAAATCGAGGAATCTAAAAATCGAAAAGTTGAAAAATCGAAATAAATATGTATTGAAAAATTCACAAACTGAATTCTAAAAATTGAAAAATCGAAGAAACACTGAAAAATCTAAAAATTGAGAAATCCTAAGACTGAAACATCGGGAAATTGAAAAATCGAGAAACCGAAAAACTGAAAAATTGCAGAATCGAAATATTGAAAAATTCCATAACCGAAATATGGAAAAATTGAAATTTCCAAGGAAAATCGAAGAATTGAAAAGTGAAAAATCAAGAAACTGAAATAATTCGAAACTGGAATGACGAAAAATTTGGAAATAGAAAAACTGAAAAATTGGAAAATTGAAAGTCGAAAAACCTTAAAGCAAAATCGAAATACCGAAAAGCAGAAAAATCGAAATATCAAAAGATAAAAAAATGCAAGTTAAAAATTGAAAAATCGAAAAACAGAAAAATCGAAATATCGAGAAATTGAAAAATCGAAAAATTGAAAAACTAAAATATCGATAAATTTCAAAATCGAAAAATCAAGACTTTAAAAATTGAAAATTAAAAAACGAAAACATCTAAAACCGAGGAGTCGAAAAATCAAAAATTCGAAAAATTAGAGAATCGAGAATTTTCAAAAACCCCAAAATGCACTATCTAAAAATTGAAAAATTGAAGAATCAAAAAATTGAAAAATCTTAAGACTGAAACATCGATAAATTGAAAAATCGGGAACTCGAGAAATCGAAAAATCTCAAGTTGAAAAATCGTAATACTGAAAACTCCCAAAATAATATCGAAAAACTTAAAAATCGAAGAAAAATAGAGGAATCGAAAAATCGACAAACTAAAATATTGATAAATTTCAAAATAAAAAATTTTAAAATCGGAAAATGAAAAACCGAAACATCTAAAACCGAGAAGTCGAAAAATCGAAAACTCGAAAATTCGAAAAATTAAAGAATCGAAAAAATTCAGAAACTGTAGATTCATCAGTTTCTGGATTTTTTCGATTCTTTAATTTTTCGAATTTGAAATTGAAATTTAGAAATCGAAGAAAAAATGAAGAATCGCAAAATTGAAAAATCCCAAGACTGTAACATCGGTAAATTTAAAAATCGAGAAATTGAAAAATCGAAAAATCGAAGTCCTAAAATTGAAAAGTGAAAAATCGAAAAATTGAGGAACTGAAATACTGAAAAATCCCAAAATTGAAATATTGAAAAATTTAAAAGCCGAAGAAAAATAGAAAAATAGAAAAATCGAAACATCAAAAATTGAAAAACTTGAAGAATCGAAAAATCGAAAAAATCCCCAAACTGAAACAACGGAAAATTGAGAAATCGAAAAATTAAGGAATGGAAAAATTTCAAAACCCCCAAACTAAACTATCTATAAATTGAAAAATCGAATAAAAATTGAAGAATCGAAAAATTTAAAAATCCCAAGACTGAAACATCAGTAAATTGAGAAATCCACAAATTGAAAACTCCGGAAATCGAAAAATTGAAGAATCGAAATACTGAAAAATTCCGAAAATGAAAAAAAAAACGAAAAACTTAAAAATCGAGGCAAAATAAAAGAACCAAAAATTTCGAAAAATCGAAACATCAAAAAATTGAATTTGAAGAATTGGAAAATTAAAAACTAAAATTTAAATATTGAAAAATTAAAAAATCGAAACAGTAAAAGATCGAGATATCGAGAATTCCGAAACTCGGAAAAAAATAAAAAAATTCATGAATCGAAATACTGAAAAATTCTATAACTGAAATTTCGAAACATTGAAACATCGAAGAAAAATTGAAGAACCGAAAAATTTAAAAACCCCAAGTTAAACTATCTAAAAATTGAAAAATCGAAGCAAAACTGAAGAATGGAAAAATTGAAAAATCCCAAGATTGAAACATCGGTAAATTGAAAAATTGACAAATTGAAAAATCGGGAAATCGAAAAATCGAAGAATTAAAGAATTGAAAAATTAAAGAATTGAAAAATTAAAGAATTGAAAAATTGAAAAATTAAAAACTAAAATTTAAAAATCGAAAAATTGAAAAATCGAAAAAGTAAAAAATCGAGATATCGAAAAATCAGAAAGTCGAAAAAAATAAAAAAATGAGAGGATCGAAATATTGAAAAATTCCAAAATTTAAATATCGAAAAACTTAACAATCGAAGAAAAACAGAATATATTGAAAAATCCTATAACTGAAATTCTATTTTTCGATGTTTCAATGTTTCGAATTGAAACATCGAAGAAAAATTAAAAAAAAACCCAAACTGAAACATCCGTAAATTGAGAAATTGACAAATTGAAAAATCGGGAAATCGAAAAATTGAAATATTGAAAAATCCCAAAATTGAAATATCGAAAAACTTAAAAATCTATGAAAAATAGAAGGATCGAAAAATTGAAAAATGGAAAAATCAAATCATCAAAAAATCGAAAAATTGAAGAATTGAAAAATTGAATATCAAAAACTAAAATTTATAAATCGAAAAATTGAAAAATCGAAAAATCGAAACATCAAAAAATCGAAAAATTCGAGAATTGAAAAACTGAATATTAAAAACTAAAATTTATAAATTGAAAAACTGAAAAATCGAAAGAGTAAAAAATCGAGAAATCGAAAAATCAGAAAGTCGTAAAAATTAAAAAAAATGAAGAATCGAAATATTGAAAAATCCCAAAATTGAGATATCGAAAAACTTAAAAATCGAAGGAAAATAGAAGGATCGGAGAATTGAAAAATCGAAAAAGTAAAAAGATCGAGAAATCGAGAAATCAGAAAGACGAAAAGAATAAAAAAATTGAAGAATCGAAATATTGAAAAAATCCCGAAAGTGAAACATCGGTAAATTGAGAAATCGAGAAATTAAGGAATTGGAAAATTCAAAAAACCTTCAAACTGAAACAATGAAAAAATGATAGATGACAGTCGGCAGACTTGACCTGACCTGATCTGATCTGATCTGATCTGACCTGACCTGACCTGACCTGATCTGACCTGACCTTATCCGACAAACCATAAATTGATGACAAACAGTCGACAGACAGAGGACAGACATACAATAAATAGACAACAGACACGACAGAGAGACGAAATGGAAGACCTATTCTTTCATGCTCTAGGGCTTCTGAAACAACGGCTGAACCCCATTTCAACACTTCGGGAAATAAAAATTTAAATTTGTAAAATATATAGTTGTCAAGTTTAATAATATAAAAAGTATAGCGGATAAATTTTCAATGAAGCACTCTGTATATTTAAAAAATAAATTGTATCATAGTGAGACAAACATATTTTCTAAAAGCCATCACCACACCCTGTATACACCACAAAAATTCCCCGAAACAATTTTTTCATAGAACTTCGTTTCACTTGAAAACGCCATTTCTTTGCAATTTCGTTAATCATATTTAAGCAAACACCACATTACCCTTCATCCCCCTAATTGATTTTCATTTTTCTAATTGACCCGGGTAAGGTGGACCTTCCTGTCAATACTAGCAAGACAAATAAGGTGTGGCTTAGCAGCTTTGCATTTGTGATAAATGAAGCCAGTGAAGTGTGACCCCGTTATGAGTGAACCACGAAACTTAAACCTCCACCCAGAATTTTGAAAAAAGCGTCATCAAACCGGTATGTCCAAAAATTAATTTCACCCAATCACGACAAACGTTGATTGTCAAACAACAAAAAAACTTCAAAACTAATTATTACTCGACACAAATATCACCACTCCCCATTCGGCGAGCCCCAGACCGATCCCCCTTTCTTCGCTTTGCCACTTTTCCACCACCGCCTGCATCCACTCAGTACCGATCCAGTCGAAAATGATGAGCTCCAATCTCTGGGATGCCGCCCCCAGCAGCACTAAAATTTTTCCACAGTTATCATGAATTTTTCATTATTGGAAAGTACTCACTTAAAAAGAACACGTAACTGCTTGAGTGACATATAAATCTGACGAAGGGTTTGGTTACGAATAGTCCCATTCTTGAGGTAGGTGCGACCATGTAGATCACACAGTAAATGGGAAACATTATAGTTAACTTCATCAACTGTAGTACTTGTCCGAAGAGGTTTTTTCGCCGGAATCCAGGTACTCCGTCGTACCAGATGGTACCCAGAAGCTGCTGGACGTTCGGGTGTGCTACAAATATCTTCTGCTTATATTTTATGGCTAGTTTAAGTCTAGCTAAAGACTGGCGTTCGCCGGAAACCCAACTAGGATTCCTGTAGTCGTAGTTCAACAGAACCATGAGTTCCTCTGAGGTTTTGACATGGTCTAAAAGAGCCGCTGCAAATTTTTCCACCTTCGCCTTCATTTCCTGCGAAAGTTGTACTAAATATTAGAAGTTAATAAGAAGCGAAAACTGTTCGATTCCTGCCAACCAGCTTTAATTGTATTTGTTTTCAACAGACATCCGAGTTTCTCGTTTCCTCTTTGTTTCAACTTCAACGTTAATTTAAATCCTTCGCAAGGGCGTAAAAACCCCCACATAGACAGAAATATTCGCATTATAGATTCTAGCAGAAAACTTACGCTGTATTCGGCCCGGAACTCGGTTTCCAGCCGACTAAGTCGCCTTAAGTCCCAAGAAAGTTCAAAGGCTGTTAATAAAGGGTCACTCGAAGACAAAGAAATGAGAGATGGCGAAGTTAAAGCTCTGTAAGCGTTTATGCGAGCCTGCGAATGTCTTAAAGAGTCCGTCTGGTTGGAGCAAACGCATTCATCGCAACCACATCTTAAGATAGACAAAGATAAATAAATTTAATGAAATTTTGCACCACCATTACTTAACGTCGTGTGGAACTGGCAAAGTCGCACCTCGGTCTAATAATAATTTAATGATTTCATAATTATTTTTGTGGGATGCTAAAATCAGAGGAGTTATGTCTGCAGTAAATGTGGACGAAGACCTGTCGACTCTTTCCCAGCTCTGAAATAATAAACACAATTTTCAAAAGTGGAATCTCTGCAATAAATACGTAGAGTTGGCCGGATTCGTGAGTTTCCTCCTCGCGGTCTAAAAGCAGGTCGACGGCTTCGACGAACTCTTCGTTAATGGCATGCAGCAGGCCATCCTAGGACAGACGTAAACACATAAACACTTAAACACACACGTACAGACGTAGAACTTACGTTAATATCGACGTTGGATTCCAGAAGGAGCTTCACCATTTCGATGTTTCCATTTTCAATTGCGATTACGAATGCAGATCTATTTAAAGGATCTACACAATTTATATCAAATTCTTCAGACTCTTCGATTATTCTACGATTCAGTGTTACCAGATATTAATGGGGGAAAATTAAGTACCTGCACACTGTTGCACAATCGCCTCGCTCGACGTGTAGGAGGAACAGTTTTTCGGTGGGTGTTAGAGGTTTTTCGCACGATTTGGAAAGGGTGGGTTTGAAAGGCCGTTTGGTTTTTTCTAGCAAGTTTTGGTTTGAAGGATACATCGTGTTTTAGCTCTTCTGGATTATTATATTATGCGGAGAATACTTTCAAGTTTGCGTTGACCCTCATGCTATTAATTAAATTAGACATGAAAGCCAAGACAAGCAGATTACTTCAATAAAAATTATGTAATGGCTATTTGGGGAGAAGGTAAGAATGTCTGGGATAAAACTGGCACTAAATTTGGTTTTGGCTAAATTGGTTGCTTTCTTGTGCAATAACACTAGTTATAGTTTGCGTAATAATATGTAACGTCAAGGTGGAATTTGTTTATAATCAGTATTTAGACGAGGCGGCAAAAATAACCGCTGCGGTGATAATGCAACTGTTGTAACATTTATAATACCAGAAAATGCTTTTACTAAATAGCACAAAAATGTATCGGTCCTTCAGAAATGATAAGATCTCAATATGCAAAGTGTATACATACAATTTGTTGGAATGAATAAGTGTTTGCTAATTAATCGTCAGATACTATTACTATACTACGCAACATTTGACCTTAATTTTTATAGTTTATATTATTATCAATGATCGTAATTCTAAACAAAATACTCAAAACTTAACTCACGATATGAAATGCCAACCCGTTTTGCCAACAAGATCAACATCTTCAGAGAACTTATTTATCACTTTATAAATCGAGATCCAGTGTTGAAAGACAGATTATAAAAATTAGTTTATTTCAACAGAACTTCCCTCGCCTCTGAAGTACAGTCCAATAAATCCGCTTCTTTGAGAATATTTAAAGTGGATAACCAACCAATAACGGGAAAAAATGTTTTTTAAAAGCTCGAAATCTCGAGAAATTGAACAATGGAAAAGTTGAGAAATTTAAAAATCAAAAAATTAAAAATGGAAAGTCGAAAAATCGGGAAATCGAACAGTTAAAATTACGAAAATACAGAAATTGAAACATTCCGAAAATCGAAATGTCGAAACATTTTAAAAATCGAAAAACCGAGATGTGAAGTCGAAAACTGGAAAAATTCAAAAATTGGGATGTTACAAATTTAAAAATTGGAAAATTGAAAAATCAGAAAAACGGGAAATCGACAAATCGAGAAATTTACACTCGAAAAAATCGAAAAATTGAAAAATCGAGAATTTGAAAAATTCCATGAAACATCGAAAAATTGAAAAATTGGCACTTCGAGAAACAGAAACATGAAAAGATCGAGAAATCGAAACATTGAAAATCGAAAAAATGAAAAATCAAAAATTTTAAAAGGCGCAAAATTGAAAAACCGAGAAATCTAAAACCGAGAAGAGAAAATCGAAAGATCAAGAAATTGAAAATTTGAAAATTCGAAAAATCCAGAAATCGAAGCATCAACAATCAAAAATATCGAAAAATTGAAAAATCGAGACATTGGGAATTCGAAAAATCCAAAATTAATAAATCGAGAAATTGAAAAATCTCAAAACTGAAATATTGAAAAATTGAAAAATCTAAGAAAAATTATTGAAAAATAAGAAACTGAAACATCGAAAAATTGGAAAACACAAAAACTGAAAAATCCAGAAATCGAAAAGTCGAAAAATCGAAAATTTTGGAAACGCCAAAAATTGAATAAACTTGATGAATCGAAAACTTAAAGAATCGAAAGTTGAAGAATCGAAAAATTGTAAAATCAGAAACCTGAAGAATTAAAAATCTGAAAAGTTGAAAAATCGAGAAATCGAGGAGTCAAAATGTCGAAAAAATCGAGAACTCCAAAAGTAAAAAAATTGAAAAATCGATTGAAAAAATCATTGAAAACGCCAAAAACTGAAAAATTGAAAAATCGAGAAATGGAAAAACCGAAAAATCGAAAAATTCCATAAAATGTCGAAAAATTGGGAAATCGAAACATCGAAAAATCGAAAAATTGAGAAACAGAGGTACAAAAGCGAAAAAAGAAAAATCGAAAGATCGAGAAATCTGAACATCAAACATTGGAAAGTCTAAAATTTAAAAATTCGAAAAATTAAAAAATTGAAGAACTAAAAAATTGAAAAATCGAAGCATCAAAAAATCAAAAAATTGAAAAATTAAGAATCAAAAATCTAAAATTTAAAAAATCGAAAAATTGAAAGTTCGAGAAACTGAGAAACCGAAAAATCGAAAATCACAAAATTAATGAATCGAAGAAAAATTGAAAAATAAAAAAACCGAACCATCGAAAAATTTAAAAACAGTAAAATGGAAAAATCAAGGAATAGAAAAATCGAAAAGCCGAAAAATCGAAAATTTAAAAAATCGAAAATATGGAAACGCCAAAAATTGAAAAAGCGAAAAATTGAAAAATCGAAAGTTGAATGGAAAAATGGAAAAAACAGAAATCGGAAAAATCGAAAAATTGAAGAAGTGAAAATCTGGGAAATCGAAATATCGAGCAGGCGAGAAATCGATACATCGAAAAGTGCAAAAATCGAGAATGGGGAAAAAAATGAAAAACTCCGAAATTAGAAAAACGAAAAATCAAAAAATCGAGAAATTGAAGAACCGAAGAATTGAAAAATCGAAAAATTTAAAAATTCCATGAAATGTCGAAAAATTGGGAAATCGAAACATCGGAAAATTGAAAATTTGAAAATTCAAGAAATCGACAAATTGAAAAACTGAACAATTGAAAAATTAAAAATTTTAAGAATCGAAAAATTGAAAAGCAGAGATCTAAAACCGAAAAGAGAAAAATCGAAAGATCGACAAATCTAAACATCAAACATTGAAAAGTATAACATTTAAAAATTCGAAAATTTAAAAAATTTAAGAACTGAAAAATTGAAAAATCGAAGCATCAAAAAATCAAAAAATTAAGAATCAAAAATCTAAAATTTAAAAAATCGAAAAATTGAAAGATCGAGAAACTGAGAAACCGAAAAATCGAAAATCACAAAATCAAGAATTTAAAAAATTTCAAAACTGAAATATGGAAAGATTAATAAATCAAAGAAAAATTGAAAAATAAGAAATCGAAACATCGAAAAATTGAAAAACAGTAAAACTGAAAAATCAAGAAATAAAAAAGTCAAAAATCGAAAATTTGGACACACCAAAATTTTAAAATTGAAAAATCAGAAATCTGAAAAATTAAAGAATTGAAAATCTGGAAAATTTAAAAATCGAGAAATCGAGACATCGAAAAGTCAAAAAATCTAGAATAGGAAAACAAAAAATGTTGAAAAAATCGAAAAATCAAAAAGTTTAAAAGTCGAAGAATGAAAACTCAATTAATCAAGAAATCAAAAAATAGAAAATTTGAAAACGCCAAAAATTGATAAATGGAAAAATCGAAAAATCACTTGATCGAAAAAAATCATAAAATCGCGAAGTGGAAAAATTCCATAAAATGTAGAAAAATTGGGGAATTAAAACAAGTAAAAATTGAAAAATGGAGAAATCGAGAAATTAAAAAATTGTATGAAATGTTGAAAAATTGAGAAATCGAAAAATGCAAAAATTGAAAAATTGAAACATGAAAAGATCGACAAATCGAAAAATTGAAAAACTGAAAAATTAAAAAAATTATATATTATAAAAACTGAAAAATTGAAAAAGTGAGATCTAAAACCGAAAAGAGAAATATCCAAAGATCGAAAAATCGAAACATCAAACATTGAAAAATATAAAATTACAAAATTCCAAAAATAAAAAAAAAATTGAAGAACTGAAAAATTGAATAATGGAGAAAACGACAAATTAAAATACCAAAAATTTGAAAAATTGAGAAATAGAAATATCAGAAAATCGAAAAATCGAATTGTTCGAGATTTTGAAAAATTTCAAAACTGAAACATTGAAAGATCAGTAAATCAAAGAAAAATTGAAAAAAAAAACCGAAACATTGAGAAATTGTAACTGAAAAATCAAGAAATAGAAAAGTCGAAAAACAGAAAATTTGGAAACGCCAAAAACTGAAAAATTTTAAAATCGAAAAATTGAAGGATCGAAAGTTGAATCGAAAAATTGAAAAATCGGGAACCCGAAAATTCGAAAAATTGAAGATTTGCAAATCTGGAAAATCCAAAAATCGAGAAATCGAGAAGTCGAGACATTAAAAAGTCGAAAAATCGAGAATGGGAAAACAAAATATCGAAAAATCGCATTGTCGAAAAAATTGAGAAATCCATAAGTTGAAAAGTCGAAGAGCAGAAAAATTGATTAATCAAGAAATCAAAAAATTAAAAATTTGAAAACAGCAAAAATTGATAAATTAAAAAATAGAAAAATCGCTTAATCGAAAAAATCAGAAAATCGAGAAATTGAAGAATTGAAAAATTGAAAAATGGAGTAATCGAAAAATTACATGAAATGTCAAAAAACTGAGGAATTGGAACATGAAAAATTTGAAAAACTGAAACATCGAGAAATCGAAACATGAAAAGCTCGACAAATAGAAGAATTGAAAAAGTGAGACATGTAAAACCGAAAAGAGAAAAATCAAAAGATCGAGAAAGAGAAACATTAAATGTTGGAAAATATAAAATTTAAAAATTCGAAAAATGAAAAAATTGGAGAACTGAAAAACTTAAAAATCGAGAAAAAGACAATTTAAAATATCGAAAATTTTAAAAATCGAAAAATTTAAATTCAAAAAATCGAGAAAATGAATAATCTTAAAACCGAAAATTTTATAAATCGAAAAAAATTGATAAAATCAAAAAATCCAAAAATTGAAAAATTGAGAAATCGAAAAATCGAAAATCAAAAAATCGAGAAAATGAATAATCTCAAAACCGAAAAACTGATGAATCAAAAAAATTGAAAAACAAAAAAACTGAAAACTCGAGAAACCGAAGAGTCGAAAAGTCGAAAATTCAAAAATTTGTAAAATCAAACCTGAAAAATCGAAAAATTCAAGAATTGAAAATCTGAAAAGAACTGAAAAATTGAAAAACCGCAAAACAGAAATACCGGAAAATTGAGAAATTAAAATATTAAGGAAATCAAGAAATCGAAAATTTGAAACATCGAGAAATGGAAAAATTTTAAAATCCTAAAATTGAAATATCCAAAAATTGAAAAACCAAAAATTTGAAAAGCGAGAAATAGAAATATTGGAAAATTGAGAAATTGAAAATTCGAAAACCCTTACTGAGACGCCCAAAACTGAAAGATCGAAAAATCGAAACATCAAAAATTGAATTTTTCGGAAAATTGTAAAATTGAAAAAGCAAGAAAACGAAAAATTAAAATATGGGAGAAAAATCAAGAAATCGAAAAGTCGAAAAATCAAAAAAGTGAAAATTTAAAAAACGAAAAATTGCAGAATCATTTACTAAAAAAATCGAAAAATCGAATCCAAAAACTTAAATATCGAAATTTTGTAGAATCAAAAAAATTGAAAAGCCTCTAAACTGAAACATCGAAAAATTGAGAAATCGAAAGTTAAAAAATCGGGAAATCGAAAAAGCGAATACAACACGGATTCATAAACCACAAGTAGAGGTGTACGTTATTTTGCAAAATTTAAATAACATTTACTATTTTAAAATGTAATGATAACGTTTTGATTATTAGTGGGGATAATCAGACAAATTTTGGTAAGCGTTTTAACATCGACATGTAGGAAATGGAGGACCTATTTTTTCGTACTCTAGGGGTCACGAAACGTCAAAAAACATGAAGCAGCTTACGCTCCGAAAGCAAAAACGATCAAATTCATCATTTTTCATTTTAGATGAATGTTTCTAAAAATTGTGGAACGTAGTCCTCAGTTTGCTTCAAAAATAAACAAACAAGTTCTACACGAATGGTAGCTTATTTTCAGCACGACAACGGATATTTATACTTCAGGTCCATCTCGCACCCATTCGATTTATGTTTACATTTTCCCCTTTTATTTAATACTCTTGTATATTACTCTGAATGAAACAAAATTTGTAAACACGCACTCTTATCCACCTTTTTTATATCGACGTTTTAATTAGTGGCCCAAATTACACATTCTTCGAGCACACATTTCCCGGTTTAACCCACAGACAAAACCGTTCCAGTCACCTATAATCTAATTTAATAAAGACAATAATGTAATTAGGCCATAGTTATATTCGATTACAACTTCACCGTTTACTTACTCGTTCGTTTCTTTCGTAGCTCGTCGGAATGTGATTTTTTTTTAATAAAAAAAAATGGCGGACACTGAAGTAAGTCGGCTTATTTGTAACTCTCGTGTGCGTAAATCCAAAATATTTAATCACGACTTTGTCTAGATTGATGTGGAGGCAAAAATCACCAGACAGTCCCTCATGATGCCCAACCTACCCAAATCCCTTACCATAGAGGAAAAGAAGTACCTCCTGGCAATAGAAAGAGGAGACATGCCCAACGTCCGAAGGTACGTACATTATTACTATTATTATTATTACTACCTATTGTGGACCATCCAGAATGTTGCAAAAAGCCAGCCGAAAACAAAATTTTGACATCAACTGCGTCGACAGTTTGGGCAGAGGCGCTCTAACTATTGCCATAGACCAAGAAAATCTGGAAATGGTAGAACTGTTGGTCATTATGGGGGTGGAAACCAAAGACGCTTTGTTGCATGCCATCAACGACGAGTTCGTGGAAGCCGTTGAATTGCTACTAGAACACGAAGAGTTGATTCACAAAGAGGGGGAACTCTATGTAGGTAATTCTTCTTCTGGATTTTCGCTAACCCGTCTTTGTAGAGTTGGCAGAAAGTTGATATCAATACGGCGATGTTCACCCCGGATATAACTCCTTTGATCTTAGCAGCCCATAGAAATAATTACGAAATTTTGAAAATTCTTTTAGATAGAGGAGCTACGATTCCAATGCCACATGACATCAAGTAAGTAGAAAATTTTTGCTGACTAGTTCTAACGGTTAATAGGTGCGGCTGCGAAGAGTGCATCAAGGAGTCAGAAGAAGACTATCTAAGACACTCGTTGTCAAGGTTAAATGAATATAAAGCTTTAGCGAGTCCTTCTTTGATTGCTCTGTCGTCAAGCGACCCTATATTGACAGCGTTCCAGCTGTCGTGGGAGCTGCGGAACTTGGCCTTTGCCGAACCGGTAAGTACCACTTACCACATACTTACACCACGTGAAAAAAAAAAGAACTGCAAAAAACAAAATGTATTTCGTGAACACAGAACATAAAATAATTGTCGATTTTGCAAAAAAACAAACTTAGAAACGAATTACTTTGGACAAATTAAAAAACTACCCTTATTCTTTTTTCTTTGATTATTGTTGCCTGGCCCGAAAATTGGTACCCAAATGAGAAGCAATTAGTCTTCTTGCTGTCTGGACACTAGTAGGTGGTCGGTTTTTCACGAAAGTTATGTTCGATTGATAGCCATTATGTCGGTTTATTCTGGTAAATGGAGTCAAGGGCACCTTGGTTTCTTCATTGGGCTTCCTTTTTTGTGACACTTTTATTGTAATTTCTTTAGGTTGCGTCGGATTCCTCTTTGCCACCGCACAGATGTTTAAATCATTTAACTTCTTAATCAGTTGATTGATTATAAACATCATTTCGTTGTCTAAAAGAGCGATTTCGTTGGGAGGTTGACGGTTTTCGTTGACGGAATTTGCAGCAGGCGAAAATGTTCGTAATGCAGGGGGCACATAAAGCTGTCTCTCGGCACGTTTATACTTAGGCACGGACATGTCAATGGTACCTGTGCTTGACTATACAATAGTTGATAATCAGTCACTGTATATTAACTGTACTTACAACTTAAAACACTTTAAACACACATACAAATATTTCGCCACTAATTCCGTGGTTACACCAAGTGAAAATATAACCTAATTAATTAACACCGCTTTGGACATACCTACAGTATCAAATGATCTTTCCTTACCCCAGTGCTAGAATAATAGATTGACTCAACCACCACGGCGGGAAATTTAAACTCACGAAAAATCCAATGTCCTATAAAATAAAAACCATTCCAGGAATGTAAATCCGAATACATGGAACTAAGAAAACAGTGTCAACAATTCGCTGTAGATCTTCTCCACCAATCCAGAAGCTCGCAAGAACTGGCCTTCATTCTTAACCACGACCCGGATAGTCCTCCCTATGAAGAGGGCGAACACATGAAATTAGCCCGGTTGGAACTAGCCATCCAGTACAAACAGAAAAAGGTACTTATACTGTTTCCGGTCCCGCTTAGTACCATCACCGTCTTTTACAGTTTGTGTCGCACCCGAACATCCAGCAACTCCTGGCAGCAATCTGGTACGAAGGCGTCCCAGGTTTTCGGAGAAAATCTGCAGTCCAGAAAGTTATGATCATTGTAAAAGTAGCCGTTTTGTTCCCTTTTTACTGTCTCCTGTACATGATTGCTCCCGAAACCAAAACCGGGAAATTAATGCGGAAACCTTTCATGAAATTTTTGATACACGCGTCGTCGTACCTTTTTTTCTTGTGTAAGTGTACCATCCACGTTGACTAGTGGTCAAAGTTAACAATTGTAGTCCTACTGATTCTGGTGTCCCAACGAGCCGAAGACCAAATCATCGAGCTATTCGGAACGGAAAGCATGAAGCTAAGCGTGCAAGAGAAGTACCAGAAGCAGCGAGGAAACCCACCCACGATTCTCGAATACGTGGTACTAGTTTACGTACTCGGTAAGTATTGAAACTCCTCAAAACAATAACACGTTTTTCGTGCCAAAGGTTTCATTTTCGAAGAAACCCACGAGATTTATGTGGAGGGTATGAAGTCGTACTTACGGAATTTGTGGAACTTCATCGACTTCACTCGGAACTTTTTGTACACCGCTGTGTTCCTACTAAGAGTGGCAGCGTACATCCAGCAGACGTCCGAAATCGAGAAAAACCCCACAACTGCCTATATTCGAAGAGAGCGCTGGCAGGATTTCGACCCGCAGCTCATAGCCGAGGGGCTTTTTGCAGCCGCTAATATCTTCAGTGCCTTAAAACTAGTTCACCTCTTTTCCATAAACCCTCATTTGGGGCCTCTGCAGATCTCCCTCGGTAGAATGGTCATCGACATCGTCAAGTTCTTTTTCATTTACACTTTGGTACTATTCGCTTTCGCGTGCGGTTTGAACCAACTGCTTTGGTACTTCTCCGATTTGGAAAAGCAGAAGTGTTTCCATCTACCAACCGGCGAGCCGGATTTTGATGGAGCTGGAGACGCTTGCATGAAATGGAGACGTTTTGCCAAGTACTACTAAACTAAATCGAAATTTTGACCACATTTTGACAATTGTAGCGTGTTTGAATCGTCGCAGTCGCTTTTTTGGGCTAGTTTTGGCATGGTGGACCTCGGCAGCTTCGAACTCACCGGAATCAAAACCTACACCCGATTCTGGGGTTTGTTGATGTTCGGGTCGTACTCAGTGATCAACGTGATCGTACTCTTGAACCTCCTCATCGCTATGATGTCAAATTCCTACGCGATGATCGACGTAAGTCTCCTCTTGCATTGTAACCCGTTTCCTACTTAATTTCTCCAGGAACACTCCGACACCGAATGGAAGTTCGCCAGAACCAAACTCTGGATGAGCTACTTCGAAGAAAGCGCCACTCTCCCATCACCATTTAACATCTTCCCGAAACCCAAACACTTGCTCAAGCTCTTTGGTCTCCGCAAGAAAGACAAGTTGAGGAAAATGTCCACGAAGCGACGAAACCGGGAAGAAAAAGAGCGCGACTACAAATACACGGCGGTTATGAGAGCCTTGGTTTGGCGGTACGTTTCAGCCATGCATCGCAAGTGTGAAGAAAACGTGGTCACTGAAGACGACATCAACGAAGTGAAGAGCGACATTTCGTCGTTCCGGTACGAGATTTTGGAAGTTTTGCAGAAGAACGGGATGGATATTTCGTGCGCGGAGCGCAAAGAGAAGGCGGTTTTGGGGAAGAAGATGAAGATCTGGGAGCGGCGGTTGATGAAAGATTTCAAGGTGGCACCAGTGGTGATTGACGAAGAGGCGGAGTTTATTTACCAGCCGCCTCCCGAAGGGGAGGATTCGCTGGCTAAGTAGGTACCGATTTTGGGAAAATCGTCACATAATGAGTGTTTCTTCAGGTTTAGAAGAATCGCCAAATTGGCGGTGATGAACTCGAATTTGAATAAGTGGCGACAAGTGGTTAAAGGGGCTTGTATAGCGTAAGTATGAATCCGGGGTGTGGTACTTTGTCTAAAGGTTTGTAAAGGTCGCAGATTGGACACTGCCACAGGAGGGATTCGTTTAAAAAGCAGCAAAATCTGCAACGCGCTATGGAGGAAGCCAAAAAGTTGAAAGTCAAAAGTCCGGTTCAAAGTCGGGCACCTACACCCATCGAACTTCCGGATACCACTGGTTCGAACATAATCAGAATAATTAGGGAGTTCACTCCTGATAGTTTGGAACCACCGAAGTATAGTTTGAGCCCGAGTCCAACCATTTTGCAAAAGTCGGGCGATAAGGGACCCATAATTTCGATTTCGCCCCCTCAAAACGACGAACGTGGGAAAGAAGAGCCCGATTTAATCAATCTAGAGAGTGCCAAAACGTCACCAATTCTTCCACCCAAAGGTTTCCTCAAAAAAAAGACTTCGTTGGAGTCGTTGGATAAACTGATTGACGGTAACCTCGATCAGGGTAGGTCTTCGGACTCTAATTCTTTAGACGAAGACAAAGTACTTAGAGATGAGTCAGTAACGTCACCGTCCAGTGACGACAAAAGTTTAGATAGTTTGACCAAAAAGTCTTTCTCTCCCGACTCAGAAAGCGCGGACAAAAAAAGCGACGAAATCGTGGAATCCAAAAATGTTACTTTCAATTTAGACCAAACGTATGAAGAAAATAAGAGTGAGTTCAAAGGTGCGGGAGGGATTTTGAAAAAGATAGAGAAGTTAGAAGAGGCGTTAGAAACCAGTCAAGATGTAGAAGTCAAGGTTGAGGTGGAAGCTTCCGATCTTGAACCAATTGAGAAACCAGAAGACGACAATACAAATGTTGATGTAGAAGGTGAAGATGGACCAATGGTGAAAGAAGAAGTAGCATTAGGTGAAAGTACTAAAACTGACGACGAAAAAGAAAATGACACCTACGCTAAAGATGAAGCACCAACTACTCAAGAAGAGGAAGATACAGAGGCAGCAAAAGCTACAGTCCGTGAAGTAGAGGCCGTAAGCGGTGCAGATACTACAGCTACTAAAGACGAAGAAGTTGATGAAGAAAAGAAAGATGAAGGTGATAAAGCTGCCAAAATTGAAGAGGTGGCTACTAAAATGGAGCTTAAACCAACAGTCGAGGAAGACCCAGTTCTGGATAAATCGCCGCTATCAGTCAGAAATATCAGAAGAATAAATGACAGCAGCAGACGTCAGCCAAGAACTGGTTGGCTTTAAAATATAGTTTAAACAGTGGGAATTAAAATTTTGATAAATATGAATTTAAAAACAATAGAAATGAGGAAAAGAAAAATAACCGTGAATAATAATTTTTGTAGAATTTTTATCAACAACAAAATTAAATTGTAACGAATGCCTTAAACACTAGTACCTGGAAAACTACTACGATCTTGCCATATACAAAGTTTGTATTGTCATATCCGATGATGAAAAACATTTTGGGACCAAAAACACTGTCCTTCAGTCTTTAGATCTGTATGGTGTTACAAATACCGGGTGATTGTGTTTTTTTGTCAGGTTGGCAACATCTGACATGCTAACATTGCTGCCAATTATTCAAAATTACCAACACAAGTCATCTGGTAGTTTCACAATGGATTTTTAAATACATTTGGACTATTTTCTGTGTTAAACAATGCTCGATTTTTTTATCTTCGTTTCGTGATTCCACATCACTTAAAATTAAGCACCTTACTTGTTGAATTCGTATTAATATAAAAAATATTTGTTCTTTTTTTCAATATCGAACCTCTTCCTGTGGTTGTTATGAAACGCGACAAAGAGAGACAGTGAAATAATTAAGTGTTCTGTCAGTCAATATTTGAAAATAAAATACACGATGATTATCCGCTCCATCTGTGCGGAATAAAGCGTTTGCTGGATAAACTCTCTCTTCATCGCGTTTTTCCTTCGTCAAATAATAATTAAATCGATACAACAATAATGTGTGTTTTAAAGACCTGAATAAATTTGTTTACAATAAATTTGTTTCCACTGTATTTGCTCCAGAGCAACTCAATAAATAAATACATTTATCTTAATTTTTCCTTTCATAATATATAGCACCTTTGTACGTACTGAAATGGTAAAGGTATTGTTACGAATGAGCCATTTTAAATCCGGTCACGAACTATACACCAACTTAAAGGTGTTGCATTTCAAGGGGTAGAATACTGATTGACAATGAAACTAGAAACCACTTTACCCTCTAGTCTTGAAACCGCAGCGCTTTTATGTAGTATACGGCTTTATGAAAAAAGGTTTGTTCATTCCCTTTCAAACCCAAAAATTGTGAAAAATAGTAATAATAACAAAAATGATTCCCTTGAAAGTAATATCTAATGAAACGACTAATAAATAAATAAACAATATAAGTATAATCGACCAGTTAAGTTATAATAGTTAACACAATAAACAAATTGTTTAAATATTACATTCCTGCAGGTGAAAGTTAAATTAAAAATGATAAATTAATGACGGTACAACCCTGTGTTAAATGTACGCCTGAAAGCCAGCAACCAGCAATACTCTAATAAGTGGGCGTTCCGTGACCTGCCAACCTCTCAAATGTCAAACTACAGCTGATCTGTCAACAATTAACAACAAACAAGCAAACAACCCACAATTATTAATTTAAACCACGAAAAAATGAATACATGAGTGCCCAAACATGGAAAAAAGCGGCGCCGTCTTTCACCCCATCATCAGTTCAATCCAAAAAATCGCCCTATATGAGACCAAATCAGTAAGTGGCGCAGTCCCTCTACTAAATTTATTAAACCAATGTCTTCCAGAAATACTACCTCGTCGGATCCAACAACACCCAAACCCGCTTCCGGGTGCTCAAAATCGACCGCCAGGAATCCAGAGACCTGAAAATATACGATGACAAAGTTGAATACACAGCTGAAGAAATCCATGACCTCATCAACATGATAGACTCTGGAAATCGGCAACGCTCAGGAGGGAGCGGTTTCTCAAAAGGGATTTCGTCCTTCGGGATTGTCGGTAACACGCTTTCTTTAAAAAATGTAAAATGATCACACAAACTGTGTTACTATAGGTTTTATAAGGTTCCTGGAAGGGTATTATATTATCCTTATTACAAAAAGGCGCAAAGTCGCTGTTATTGGTTACCACACGATCTACAAAATTGAAGACACAACCATGATCTACATTCCACATGAATCAGTGCGGTTGGTGCATCCGGAAGAGCCGCGCTATGTGAAGATGTTCCAGAATATTGATTTGGCTAGTAATTTTTACTTTAGGTGACACTTTAACCTCAAACTTTTTGATTGTTTTCTAACAAAGCTTACTTTTTCTTTAGCTATAGCTACGACCTCACCCACTCCCTCCAGCACAACTTGACCGACCCCAAACAATTCGTCCCCACCTTCCAAGAAGACTCTGAATTCTATTTCCCCGATGATACCAACCTTCTGACCTCCTCCATTATTTCCCAAGGCTCCCGCACCGACGAGCAGCATGATTACGGCATTCGCACCAAACCCCACCGCAAGTTCGTCTGGAACACCCACTTACTCAGCTTGGTTGAGCCAGAGCTGCACCCTGATTGGCTGCTCTATATCACTCACGGCTTCATCGGCCAATCAAACATCAACATCTTCGGGCGGTCGGTTTACGTCACCCTGATCGCGCGACGGTCCAGCCGGTACGCCGGTACCCGATTCCTCAAACGAGGGGCCAATTTCCAAGGCGACGTCGCCAATGAGGTGGAAACCGAGCAGATGGTTCATGATTCCGGGGTATCGTCGTTCAGTCAAAGTCATTTCACGTCGTTCGTACAGATGAGGGGGTCAATTCCCGGACACTGGAGACAAGATATGGGGAAAATGGTGGCCAAGCCGGCTATCACTATGGACTTGTATGACCCGTATGCGGAGACCGCGGGGGCCCATTTCAACGAACTGTTGAAACGGTATGGGGCTCCCATTGTGATTCTGAATCTAGTGAAGCAGAGAGAGAGGAAGAAACAGGAGAGGTTGTTGAGTGATGAGTTGAGCTCCGCGGTCAAGTACTTGAACCAATTTCTTCCACCGGAGCACCAGATTGTGTATAAGACTTTCGACATGGCGAGGAAAAATAAAGGCAATAATGCCAACGTAATGGGGCATTTGGCAGACATAGCCAGGAATGCGGTCATGAAAACTGGGATTTTTCACAACCAGAAGAGATATTTTTCGCAGAAGTTGGCAACCGTGGTTGGACAGAACAAAAGCGGGAATAATATAGGGAGCGTCCAGACGGGGATTATTCGAACGAATTGTGTCGATTGTTTGGATCGAACCAATACCGCCCAGTTTGCTATAGGAAAGTGTGTCCTGGGGTACCAATTGTGCGCTCTAGGGATTTTAGATTTTCCGAATTTAGAGTTCGATACTGATTGCGTGCGGATGTTAGAGTGTCTGTATGAGGATCACGGAGACACTTTAGCTTTGCAATACGGGGGCTCGCAGTTGGTCCACAGAATCAAAACGTACAGAAAAACGGCCCCGTGGACGTCACAAGGGAACGACATAATGCAGACTTTGAGTAGATATTACAGCAACACTTTCTCAGACGCTGATAAGCAGAACACCATAAATCTGTTTCTGGGGATTTTTGTTCCCGAGGAGTGTAAACCACAGATTTGGGAGTTCACGTCGGATTATTACTTTCACCATAAACCGATTGTCTATAATAATAAGTCGTTGAGTCAGTGGTGGGATCGAGATGTACTTAAGTGTCTTCCTTATGCTTACAATGACTTAACTAAAGCATGCTCTGAGATAATTCAGGTTCATTCTCGGGATGCGGAAATGATAGATGCGTACTCTGATTATCACAGACCTTACGAACTTAGCGTTTTGAATGACGTGTATGCGTTCAAAATCAGTAACTCGGTTCGAGATTTTATGCCTAATTGTACGACGGATTACAGCCCTTTTATTATACGAATTCGTCCAGTAAGGCGAAGAGAGGAAAATTCGAATAAAGGGCTTGCTATGAAGAACCCTTCTGTTACGGGGCAGAGTTCTACGAGTTCTGCTGCGTCTAGTTCTAGGTGATTATGTTAAATTTAGCCCCTCACAGACGTATTTACAATCGTTTTAGTTCTAGTTCAGACGAAGATTCCTGCGATGATGAAGACAGTACTTACACGAACGAATCCCAGGGGACTACGTCCAAAGAAAGTAGTCCAGAACCCCCAACATTCAAGTCGCTTTTCCCCTCAATGAAAGAAATATACGGGACGCAGCTCACCGACCCCAAGAAAGCTGATATAATGACTTATAAAAAGTAAAATATGTGGTTGGTTTTGTGGTGTTTGTAGTTACATTTGTCGTTGCAGATATGTTCTCATCGGGAAAAAGGCAAACGGGACAGTCAGAAACAGTTTTACTCCAATTTCGCTTAATTTAAAACCACAAAGCAACTTCACCGCAGACACTTCCATCCAAGTCACCCCACCTACCGTCAGTAAAAAGTCAATTCAGATTTATGAAAATTATATAAATACGGGGATCAATGGAGGTTTCTTACCTAAAGCGTCCGACCTCGCACTGTACCAAAAATACGCTAGCTTTAAATAAGTCTGTGATTCCAAGTCTATTAATAAACGATTATTCGAATTTGGCGCGTCCTCCCTCCAACTGTCAATTCCGCCTTGTCGGCAAAGCAGTTCCCTATAGCCGTCCTCTTTCGGAAAAGAATTTTGTGGCGACCACGTTGTAGCATCTGTAAGTACAATTCCTCCAATTTTCCTCTCACACCACACAGAAACTCGTGCACAAACCCCCTCATTACACTCAAATTCACACCCCCTCGTTCGCCAGCGGTCGTTCCGCCCCCAAAACTTCATATTTAGCCCGTAATTGAAGTAAGGTTATGTCCACTTTCCTCCCCATTTTGTTTCAAACACCCGGTTGTCATAGCACTCTGAATTTTGTTTCAGCATCGCCACCATGCAAATTTTCGTGAAAACCCTGACCGGCAAGACTATCACCCTTGAGGTCGAGCCTTCGGACACGATTGAAAATGTTAAAGCGAAAATTCAGGATAAGGAAGGAATCCCCCCGGATCAGCAGCGTCTGATCTTCGCCGGAAAACAGCTGGAAGACGGACGCACTTTGTCCGATTACAATATTCAAAAGGAGTCCACCCTTCACTTGGTGTTGCGTCTGCGAGGCGGGATCATCGAGCCTTCTCTGCGTCTTTTGGCGCAGAAGTACAACTGCGACAAGATGATCTGCCGCAAGTGCTACGCGAGATTGCATCCACGTGCCACCAACTGTCGCAAGTCGAAATGTGGACACACGAACAATCTCCGCCCAAAGAAGAAGTTGAAGGGTTAAGTTTTTAATTTTCATGCTGCAGGTTCTCATGTAATTTGAGGATACTGAATACACAATTTTTTGGTCAGAAGAGTTTTATTTATCCCGTGTTTTGTATGTGCTAAGTTATGCAACCAACAATACATCAATTATGTCAACGAGCATGGAGATTCGGTAGTTCTTGATAATTTTTATCTCAATTCAGTATCAAACCACAAATAAAGAGCGTTTATACTCCACATAAGTGATACCACTCCAGAATATGTGACAATATTACGAACAAAGAAAACATTTCTTTCGTTTAAAATGTTAGGTTATGTTTACAAGTTCAAGATAAAAAATGTTTTTCTGCTCGTGCTGGTCGTTTCAGGGGCTTTATATTTCGTCCAGGTAGTTGTTTTTGTGTTATTTCGCTTCCAATTTTTGTGTTTTAGTTTTTATTTTTGTCTGAAGTTCGACACCCGGTTATAGTTTGGTGGACCCCTTTCATGGGAGATCACGAAAGAATGATTACGTGCTCAAAGTACACTTGCTTATTAAGCAAAGACCGAACCCACGTAAACAATAAAAATTTGCAAGTACAATTGTTTTGGTAATTAAGTGCTTCTGTAATTGTTGATTTTCAAGGCCTTTTTATTTTATGGAAGTTTATTTAAATATGAAGATACACCAATCCCTAAAAGTCGAATTTGGGCAGTTTTTCATGAAGAATCACCCAGAAACGTGGCCCTTTTTTTATACCAGCGGACTTACGACGTTTTTGATATTACAGCAACGTTTAGTCGATACAGTGATTTTCCACTGACTTTACAGTATTTAGAAAATTTGACTATGATTACAGGTATTACACAGTGTCGTTGTTTATATAAGTGTGTCTGTAAGTGACTGTCACATATGATTTTTGCCGCTTTGTTAAGATCGCACTTATAATTAGATGTCAAATGTCAAACTAACGTCATATGTCAATAGCAACGTTCTCATCAAAAAGAAGCGGCAAATTTTAACACATTAAATTTCAAAAGCAGTTATTTATAGACAATATTGTGTCATTTTAAACGCGATTTTGTAGATAACCGTTATTTAGTGAGTCTGTATGAAAAAAATAGACTGCTGGACAGTATTGCACCAGTATTATATGTACAATCAGACTGTGATACTCCCGTAGAACGGGACGCTTATATTGCCGAGCTTATGAAACATATACAAGTAGATTCCTTTGGGGCTTGTCTCAACAATAAACATTTCCCAAAAGGGTAAGTCACCGTCTAACAATAAACATTTAATAGTGTCACCATTACAGAATAGCGGACGTGAACTCTATGGATCTCTATAACGACAAACTGCTTCATTTTATAGCAAAGTATAAATTTGTTCTAGCTTTTGAGAATGCAATTTGTGATGACTACATTACTGAAAAACTGTGGCGGCCTTTGGTGGTTGGATCAGTTCCTGTGTACTTAGGATCACCGTCTGTAGAGGTAGGTTTGCTTGAATGCGGTTTCCGGGGGTCATGATTAAAAAAAATTCTACTAAAAAATATAAATATTAAAAATCTAGTTGGTAGATGGCGTTGTCACAAAATTACCGAACTTACCCCCATTTTGTGTCAGGACTGGCTACCCAACCCAAGTTCGGCTATTTTGGCGAAAAACTTCGCCACGCCTGAAGAACTGGCAAACTATATACACAAAATCAACGCCAACGATACTTTATACGAGACGTTTCTCGAGCACAAAAGTGGCAAAGTCGAGAACAATTTTCTTAAAAGTACGTTACGCAAGGGTCGTTTTGGTGTTGATTCCGATCAGGATGACCTAATTCCAGCCTTCGAGTGTTTCGTGTGTCAACAGATTCACGAAGGTGTGACGAAACGAGGTTCGAAGTCTGTATATGATTGTATTGAGCCCAAAGAAGGGAATAGTTGGGAGTACTTTTGGCAGTCCGGAGATTGCCAGTCCCGGGCTTTGGTAGATTCCGTGGTGAATAACAAAAGTGAAAGAGTTTCCTGTTGATAAATTGAGTCGAATTAAAAATTGTATACTTTTATTAAGTGATAACTCTGCGATTAAAAAAACCTCTGTGAAAACAATGCTATAAATACTCAATTATTGCAAATGAATATTATAAAATAAAATAGTAACGAGTAGAACCCCTGTCTTTATTTTATCTAAGTAAGTTTACGAAAATGAAAATCTCCGTGTTCACTAATTTATCACAATTTAACGTCGTAAAAATCCAATGGTTGATAGAACAAAAGGTACAATTATCATCACAATAATTGAAGTACACTTAGGCGCTTTAGGACACGTTTCAGTCACGATCTCTAAGTACAATGGAATAAATTAACTGGAAAGAGGAACAAAAACATTCCTAAGATTTGTCCAAAATATACAAAATAATGCAGGTTAAATGGAAGACTAATATCTGTACACTTTCAAGTCAACTTTCCTTGGGAAAAATCGTATTTTCAATACGTCACGCTACAAAGCAATGAATAAAATACACCAAACTAAAAAATGACATATTGAAAATCTCCTATTAGTATGCTACAAAATGAAGAAAATCCAATGAGGTACATTATCCCTGTATTATCGGATGTCTGGGATAACATCAGAAACAAAGTCATCCTATAACGCCGCCTACTCAGTCGCTCTTCCCCTTCCCCTTCTTCGCGAACCCGAACAGCTTTTTCTTTTTCTTCTTGATGTCTTCGTCCATCAACGAGGAGTCGGTCGAGCACACGTCCTCCTCCATCGAGGGCGCCGGCAGCTCTTTGATCGGCGTGTGTCTCAAGGACTTGGGCCTCGCAGGGACGTCCAGGCTCGTGTCGGAGTGCGAGGACTTCGGCCGGCCGCTCTCCACGCCCCCCACGTTAATATCTTGCGAAAGAGAGCGCGTCATGGGCGAAGTCCGCGTCGTCATAGATATATTATTATTGCTAATACTTCTGGGATTGGAAGACAGTTTGCTGATTTTTTCCTCCGGCCAATTAGAGCTGTGAATAGGACACGCCTTATCGAGGGCACGCGACCGCCGCCAACTTACATTTCTCCTCCCACCATGAAATGGACCGCCGACTGGGGCTTGCTCTCCGAGTGCTGGTCGTCTTCTTGTCGGCTGGTCTCGCTTCCCGACGAGTCGCCCTCTTTCCACGAGTGGTGCGCTGCCGACTCTGAGTATCCTGTACATATAGCGCCATCTTACACCGAGATTAGTTACCCAGCATGCATTTTATTAATTACTTGATATTTGGTTCGTCGAATCGCACACGTGCGGTTCTGGCGTAGGGATAGAGTGTGACTGCGATTAGTGTTTTAAGCACCATCAAGCTACCAAGCGCTAAAGACCCATCTCGCTTACCTGCTCGCTTCCGCTGCAAACTCTCAAGGAAAACGGAAAATAAATAAAAAATAAATGGGAATTAATTCTCAACAGGCCTTTATATTTTGATTGAAACCATCATCTACAAACTAAGTGGTAAATAATCAGGAAATACAAGCCCCCTAGCACAAAAATAAATTACAATCAAGCAAAACAGCTATAAAAATATATATAAACTGGTTCAAAAATAAGTACAGGTTTTAAGAATCTCTGGTGATTACGATGTCAGGTTAGGTTAGCAAAAACTGTCGAAATGGGTAATGCAGAGATTAAAAAATATATGCAAGAGTGCCAGCATGATGATCCCCCAATTTTGCGCTGCTGCCGTGCTGTAAACCAATTATCACCTACTGAACACTCTTCATTCTTTCAACGAACCAAACATTAAGCGTAATCCAGGTACGTTTCTTAAGTTAGAATTAACTACCTCATGACCGGGAAGACAGTAGAGAGACAGGAGAGTATTATAGGTAGAGCAAGCGAGTCTTGAGTTAAGTCATGAGGTTGTTAAAAGCACTAACCTAAACTAACACGTTTAATAAATTATTTACATTATAAACAATCCTAACAACAGCTACCGAAAAGAGTACAAGTGGGTTTATTTTGTTAAATCTTAATCAGAATTATCGTAGGAATCATCATCAAACGAGATACTCTTACCTTGATGACTCCCATACAACGAACCGGTGTCGTCATCTAGATCATCTTGGCTGCTGATCCGACCTGCGCCACCAAAATTACATGAACCCCGACGAACAAAGAAAATTAAATTTGCGTACCTCTAATTGGCAGCGCCCGCCCATTGGAGTTCCGGTATAGGGTGCTCTCCAAAAACTGCAACCCGTTGTTGTTAATAATGCTAAACCCGCACAAAATCTCGATTTGTTTCCATCTGTGGACGCGCTCTTGCAACTCTTGAGTGACTTCGTTCAAGGCCGTCCGCGCCTCCACTATACTTCTATCCACTTCGTCGATCGACTTCCCATGCGTGGAGACGAACGCCCCCACCAGACTCGACCTCTTCTTCCTCAGTTTCTCGCACTGAAACACCACAGATACTCTCAACTACACCCGAAAAAAGCACCTACAGCTTCCCGCGCTTGCTGCAACTGCTTCTCGGCAGCCATCTTCTTCTTCATGTACGCTTTGTTCTCCATTTCGTGCGTGAGCTGGAGCCAATGTTGGAGAAGCGGAGGCGGCGACCAGCACCTGTCCTTCAGTTCACCTTCAGCGATTTGGAGTTCGGTCCGCAGCATCTGCACGTAATCAGATTCAAGAACAAGGACACAGCAAAGGTCGCCGCTTTTTGCTCACCTCGATTTCGGCCTTGAGCTGCGACACCTCCAAGTCGGAGTACAAGTTGGGCAGCGAGTCCAAGTCGGTTTTTGAGTCCTGCAGCCTCTTCTCGAGGTTCTGCTTCTCGGTGATGACGTCCTCCTGCGCCTGTTTCGCCTCCTCGAGCTCCTTCGCGAGGTTCTCTAGCGCTTTCTCGGCGTTCTGTAGGCTGTCCATGTCACGGTTCATGCGGTTCAGGTGGGTCTTGAACTTCTTGTTCTGCTGGAAGGCGTACCATACCCCTATGCCGCCCCCTATGATCAGCACAATCAGGGTGAAGTCCTTCCAGTGGGGTTGGCCGTCTGCGAGGAGGAAAAGAACGTTCATTGGTCGACTCGGACATTCTCTTGCGCGCACATATTCTGTCCGAGGCTCGAATACGAAAAAAGCGATCGGGAATTATTAGCAATGCCGGTAATGGTTATATAATTGGACCATTGTTGTCACGGTTTGCCGGGTTCCGTTATAAACATCCTGGCGGACATGTGATGAAGATGTGATGGTGCACCAGGACTGAGGTCTGGGTGCAATTTTGGTTACGTAAAAGGCATGTCGAATCATTAAAAAAACGAATCTTAAATCGCCGGTTTATGTAACGTGGGGATTCACTAAATTGGAGGTAAGATTTGCTAGTGAAATGGAACTGTGGCTAATCGGATGGTTGAATGCCGTTCCACCGTGGGATACGTTATTGTAATACTTAAATTATGCTGAATCGGTGACTTAATAATCACACAAAATCGATATTTTCGATTTTTGTTGTAGGTTCGTGTGGTGGTGACGAAGGCCACCTTGAACATGAGCCGGCATTGACAACGTATGATTTACATGAAATCATCGTCGTGAATTAATTTTGGGAATTTCTCTCTCTGTACTAAGGTGAAGTGCTGTCGAGTGTGTACTTATGCTAAATCGTGTTTGCTGAAAAGTTTCATCACTTGTATTTATTTTTTAATCCATAGCTGCCTGTTTTTACAAGATTTCATAGGGACGCATGCGCAAACCAACGCACACAAGCTTCTGGAAAGTTATTGGATATATTTATTTATATTACAAAAATTAATTATTTTATTACAATAACATTGCTAATTTTCTTGAAAATTGTATAACTTTAGACCAATTTTTTTAATAAAACCTGAACTTGCTCGCTGCGCTCGCATTCTAAACGTTTTTTTTTTAAGTTTTAAATAATGTAATAATTATTAACAAAATATATATATATATATATATATATTCACTGCTGTTCCTGAGCAGTTAAATTATAATTTAACTTGAAGTGAATTATTTTTAATAACACCTGCACATGCTCGCTGCGCTCGCATTATAAGCCTTGTTTTTTGCACTTTAATCTCATAGAAGTGATTAGGAAAAAACTCAGGGAAGCTGTCAAGGTTTTGTTATAATAATAAATCTCAAGGTTTATTATGTACAAATCAGCAAAAATCGAGAAAGCAGTTAAAAATGTTTGACGTATCAAAAATTGTCGAAATTTTCAAAACCTTACGTTTAAAATGTTTGCAGTTAATTTTAGGTCCCCTGTGTTTTATTTTCGGATAAAAATTAAAGAAATATGGAGTTTTGTTGCTGGATGAACTTGAAAAAATCTTTTGAGCTATTAGTGTTTTATTTTTTATGAATTTGAAAGTCTTAAGTGCTTCAGTGTTTTTTTTTTTAATTTGGGACTCTTGGGTACGCATGGTGTATTATTTTGGGAGCCCATGGAGATTTTTTTGTAAATTATTTAAAATAATTTTGAGGAACTTTGGTGTTCTATTTTTGGAAAATTCCGACCTGACCTGTTTTTCAGTTAATTTTGGGACCCCTTTTTTCTTTGAAAAATTGAAAACAATCTTGAAGTTTTAGGTATTCCTGTTTGAAAAGAATTTGAAAGTGCTTTGGAGTCTCTAGTGTCTTTTCTTACAATGATTTAATTAAATTTCTTAAAGGATACGTCATTGGCCAAAATCAGTCTTATCTTAGCAGGTATTAGCCCCGCCCATCCATCCTCTCTTTTCTTAGAAGGTATGTCATTTGCGAAAATCAGTCTCATCTTAGCTCTAAGAGAAGAGAGAGCGGGTGGGCGGGGCTAATACTTGCTAAGATAAAACTGATTTTGGCAAATGAGATACTCTCTAAGAAAAGAGAGGGCGGGTGGGCGGGGCTAGTAACCGCTAAAATAAAGACGATTTTGGCAAATGACAAACACCTAGGTAGAGAGAGGGTGGGTGGGTGGGTGGAGCCAGTACCTGCTAAGATAAGACTGATTTTAGCAAATGACGTATCCTATAAGAAATGTAATTAAATTATTAGAAGAAAAGACACTAGAGGCTTCAAAGCAGCTCAAGAATGTTCACAATTTTCAAAAAAAAAAAAAAAAAATCGCAGTCCCAAAATTAACTCACAAAGAGGTCAGGTCAGAATTTTCAAAAAATAGAACACCAAAATTTCCCAAAATTATTTTAAATAATTTACAAAAAATCTTCATGGGTTTCCAAAATAATATACCATGCATACCCAAGAGTCTTCCGAATTAAAAAAAAAAAACACTGCGGCACTCAGGACTTTTTCAAATTCGTAAAAATAAAACACTAACAGCTCAAAAGATTTTTTGAAGTTCATCCAGCAACAAAACACCAGATCCCTTTAAATTTATGTGAAAATAAAACACCAAGGGACTTAAAAAAACTAGCAGTTGATTTTGGACTCCGTTTTTTTTTTTTGAAAAATTGAAAACAATTTTGAGGTTCTAGGTATTCCTGTTTGGAAGAATTTCAAAGTGCTTTGGAGCCTCTAGTGTTTTTTCTTGCAATAATTTAATTACATTTCTTAGAGGATACGTCATTTGCTAGTTTTATCTTAGCAGCTACTAACCCCGCCCACCCAACCTCTTTTCTTAGAGGGTATATGATTTGCCAAAATCAGTCTTATCTTGACAGGTACTAGCCCCGCCCACCCACCCTGTTTTTTCTTAGAAGGATCTTATTTGCCAAAATCAGTCTTATCTTGGCAGGTACTAGCCCCGTCCAACCGCTCTCTCTTTTCTTAGAAGGTATGTCATTTGCCAAAATCAATTTTATCTTAGCGAGTAGTGAGGACTAACTTTTATATTTTTCTTCTGTAGATTTTGTTTTTATTTATAATTCATAAATGTCTTATTAAATGTTTTTTTTTTGGCAAATGACATACCCTCTGAGAAAAGAGAGGGAGGGTGGACGGGCCTTTTTTTTTTAACTGCCCTCATCTAAATAGTAATGAAGTTTTCATTCGTTGGCAGACCAAGGGGCGGAGCCTAATTGCAAAATCCATATTTTCTTACAAACATTTACAATTTTAAACGTGTTTTAAGTTTCTAAAAATAAAAAAAATCATCACAATTAAGATGGGGTGGGTGGGCAGGGTTTATATTTTGCTTTTCTTTCTTTCTTAATACATATACATAGTATTCTATATAAAATGTACCATTTTAATCATGTTTTAAGTTTCTTGTGAAAAGATGGCTATTTATATTAAGAAAAACAAAGCAAAATATAAGCCCCGCCCACCCGCCCTATCTCAATTCTGACGATTTTTTTTATTCGTCGTAAACCGAGGGACGAAGCTTAATTATAAAATCCTTTTTTTCTACGAGAAATTACCATGTGACAGGGGCGGTTTGTTCTATGAGGGAGATGAGGCAATGAATTTGCGCTGTATTAATATTTTTATTAATTCTGACCGATATATTTCTGAACAAAAAAATGTTTTTCTTTTATATTTAAGAAATAAATGTGAAAAATTTTGTTTCTCTCATTTTGGAAGGTGGGCACTATCCCCATAATTAAACAATGTCCTTTAACACACCATACAGGGGTAGAATCGAATCTTACTTCTATAGTTTAGGCAACACTGATTTTTCCATTTTACTTTTTTCGTTTTTATAGTTTTTCGAATTTTCCTTTCCTTAATTTTTTATTTCTTCAGTTTCCACTTTAATTGTGCGATTTTTTAATTTTTTGTTACTTCATCTTTGAGGTTTACAATTTCGAGATCCCTCAATTTTACTATTTTTTAATTTCTCGGTTTTTCAATTTTGCGTTTTTGTGAAATTTCTAATTTAAACTTTTGTTTTTCAATTTTTCGAATTTTCAGTTATTCGATTTTTAATTTTTCGTTTCCTCAATTTTTTGATTTGCAATTTTATTTCCAGTTTTAAATTCTTGAATTTTTAGATTACTTCTGTTTTTGGATTAACTCTTTCTAAATTTATTACTTGTAGATTTTTAAATTTTTCGATATTTTATTTTTCGTCTTTTCAGTTCAGAAAGAACACATCGAAAACACAAGAGCAACATGAAAAAATGTCTGCCTTATAATTTTTCAAAATTTCGGTTCGAATAAACTTGTTTTTTCTTTGTCCAAACTTTAAACATTCAAAAGGAGAACTTGATTATTTAAAAGCTAAAAATTGAAAACTAGAACAACTGCAAATCAAAAAATTTAAGACATGAAAATTTGAATAATCGTTTAATTCAAATAAGAAAAAATTAAAATTTCTATAAATTGAAAAATCGAAAAATCCAAGAAACGAAAAATTGCGGAGCGAAAACTGAATAATTCTAAATCGAAAATTTTAAACACTTAAACTAAATTCTGAAGTTTGCAATTTAAAAACATGCTCAGGCAATACAGTATAAATAAACGCAATGAAATTTAAATACATATAGAAATTGAAAAATCCAAAAACTGTAAAATCGTGAAAATTTCAGTTGAAATAAATTTGTTCTCTTTGTTCACAATTTAAAAATTAGAATCTGGGAAAATGAAACAGTAAAAAATTGAGAACTTGAAAAATCTAAAAATTGAAAACTAGAAAAACTACAAATAGAAAAAATGAAGACGTGAAAAATTGAAAAATCGATTAAAAATTAAAGTATCTAAAAATTGAAAAATTCTGGAACTGAAACATCGAAAAATTGCAAGTCAAAAATGTGGGAAACTGAGAAAAATTAAAAACTGAAAACTAGAAGACCTGAAATCGTCTTCGTAAAATCAAAAAATTGAAAAAACAAAAATTAAAAATCAGGAAACTGGAAAATCCAAAAAATAATAACCGAAAAATTAAAACATCAAGAAATTGAAAAATCGAGTTAACTGCAAAATCGAAACACTGTAAATTAAAATTTTCAAAAAATCAAATGTTGGTAAATCGGAAATTTAAAATTGAAAACTCAAAAAATTGCAAATGGAAATTTCAAAAAATTGCAAACTAAAACTCGAAAAAGTGAGAAATCGTAAAAGCAAAAAACTGAATAATTTTTAAAAATCTAAAAATGGGTGCTTTTAAAAAATCTGCAGTCAACACAATATAAATAAAAGTGGCGAAAGCAACCACATTCGAATGACACCGAAGTGCTTGTTGTCATGTCCTCAATTAAAAATCGTAAAGTTAAAAAACTTTAAATATAAAAACGGAAGAACTAAAAACGAAAAAATCGTAAGTTCAAAAATCGAACTGGAAAATCATAAAATCGAAGAGTCCAAAAACTAAAAAAACTACAGATTGAAAAATCGAATGTTAAAAGTTCAAAAAATTATAAAATTGAGAATGTCAGAGTAAAAATTAAAAAAATTGAAATCGGAAATTTCTAAACTAAAAACTGAACCATGGTAAATTGTTAATCAAAATCTATCTGTTTGTTCCCCTCAAAAAAGTTCTGTCGAAACAACAGCAGCGAGCACGTTCAGATTTCTCGATTTTTTCCGATTTTAGTATTTACAAGCATTAATTCTTGAGATCCATGTGACGATAAATTATTCTAAAAAAATATACCCAAAAATGCCAGCGTAGCGAGCAGGTTCAATATGTTTCGGTCCCACAGATATTATTATTCTTAAAAAAATCAACTTCGACTGTCTCATTTTTTTTATTAATTTAAATTTAAATTTTTGTATATATAAAAAGTGTTAAAAATTGTGAATAAATTAACTTTATTAATTTTTGATAAGAATTATCCCTAAATAAATCTGACCTAACCGAACTTGACCCGAACCGCCATGACCTGACAAGCATCAGTCACTGTTCTGTGTGTGAGGGAGGTCCTATATAATTTTTTTAGCCCGATTTTTTACTGATTAAGTAACTTACTGAAAATATTGTGAGGATTCTTCAATAATAGGACCACTCTAGTTATGGAAACAGTTATCGCTTAATTTTGACAGTACCGGATGTTCCAACCTGATAAATTCGTAAGTTTAAAGTATAATTATTTAATTATTTATAATTCTATCCACTGTCATATACGTGACAAAAACGGATCACGAATGTAATAATACACCATGTATTATGTAAACATATGTAAACAAAATGTTTGCGAGTGCACTACTTATTATTATAGAACGAATGACAAATTCGCTCTCTAAAATGTTTAATACAATTTTCCAAAAAAGAACGTTTTTTCCGCCAAAATTTTGACGAGTCACGATTTATTCCTCTTTCATTTTGAAGTGTATGCAAAAATATTTCTATTTTTAAAGTGATGAATTCATCTTAGTAGCGAAATAATACGTGGGAAATTTAAAGTGTCTGATGCGGTATTTTATAGCATTTTTAAACACAGTATTAACGCTAAACAGTGTTTATTTGTTGTGGAAACAATTGACCCAACAAATGTTTACTTCGCAAATAAACTTTCGTTAAATAAAAATATGTGGTGCAGTCGCCTTTAAAGTTATTAAACTTCGAATTAGTATCCATATTTTTAACTTCTGAAAATAAATACATTTTAATAGACACATATGTAATATTTTTTACGTTTCACAGCTTCTAAAATACGAAAAGACAATTTTTCCATTTGAGAAAACAAAAAATTTTTAATTTTAGATTAAGAACGAGAATATTGCAACGAAAATAGAAATCTGGCTATGCAAACGTCACTTAAATAAATATTTTTGTGAATCAAGACTTAGACATCCCTGAAAACAATGCTATCCGCGAATGTGAAATACCTAAAATATGTGACGTTTCTGCTCCAACGATGATAGCAACGTCGACATATTTTTTCTATTTAAAAGTTTCTTTTTACGAGGAACTGTTTATGAATCTATTTTCGGGCGAAAAAATTGGAAAACGTGTTGTCCAGAACAACCAACGGAAATCGCGATGTACGCAAAATTAACTGAATGAATCTGGAAACATTGCATTTATCAGAGTAAAAGGAAAGACGTAAACTTTATTGCTTTAATAAATAAACACCATAAAGTATTCTAAACATATTTTTTTTGCAAAGGAGTATGTTTAGAACCGACTGTTAAACAAGTCAAAAAATATATTTTGCGGATATGGAGCAGTGTCCGGAACATCGACACTTTAATAAAAAAAAAATTCCACTCGGTTGGTTTATGCATTTTCAGCATCAAACTCCACGTGTCAACAAAAAATAATTAAAACGTGATAGCTTTATAGCATTGCGTCCTTATACAGTAAACAGTAAACAGGCATTTATGGTTAATAAAAACCCATAATGCGTTATTTTATGGCTCTTGATACCACCACAACAAATAGATTTTTCCCAATACTTACCCTTTGGGGGGCCAAAGAGGACTACGTCCATGGCTTTTAGCACGATTTTCTGCTTATGGATAGGATCTTTGATTCCGAGATGATTCAAATAGTGGATATTATTGGCAGCCAATCTAGACAAACCCTAATGAGTACTAATTCCACCCCCAGTGACAAAAATACCTGGGTAAATTCGCTCCAGTGACTTTGTGCGTAATAAAACTAGGAACATATTGGGGCAAATCGACAGAGGAGATCAGCCAGTCTGTGGTCTGCTCGACGGTCCAGTTGTGCACTTCTGACTTAGTCCAGGCTTCCCAGAGCTCTTTTACGGAGATGTGCATATCATCGTTGCGATGGAAGGCTTTCTGTCTTCTTTCGTAGCCCGAATCGTACTGGAGCTCCTCCCTTAAAAACTAAATAAGGCTGTATAAGGGGGTTCCGGCGTTTCAAAGCTAGCTTACGTCATCAGACTCTGCCAGGTCTACGTTACCATTCGCATCATCATCCAGCTTCTGGTGGAGGGTTTTGATCGCTTCTAGCCCCATCCTGTCGTTGGCAGCCATAGTAAGGCAAGCGAAGTCATCGATGCTGCAGGTGTGAATGGAGCCTACGAACAGCGCTCGAAAGAGATAACTCCAACCGAAAGCAATACTCACTGTCGCTGAGAAGTAAGTCGTTGGCCGAATAAGTACTCTTTAAGTTGTCTCTGGGCCTCATTCTATCTGCGTTACCTTCCTGTGCAGCAATGAAACCGTCACTTTGATAAAAGCTCAAAATTAACCAAAAAATTATTCCACGGGTATGCATCTTGGTTAACCTTCAAATTGCACAACGTATTAGTTTCGTGTTAAGGCCGCAGTTGTTACAGCGATTTTTTAACATAATAATTATTGTTTTGTGTGTTTTTCTTTAGTTTGACATTTCACAGCCGATTTTCGTGCGAAGTTTCAAGGTCGTGTCAGTTTTATGGAAAAATCTGTCAAATTTTTCGGCGATTATGTGAGGTTCGCCGCGAATTGCGCTAGTGTGATCGCGGCCTGCCATATGTTCGGTCGGGAAAGGTCGCTTCACATTGGACGAGAGTCGCCTTCATGCGATGACCAATGACCTTAGCACAATTAACGATAATCTATTATTGCATTCGGAGTTTCTGAGAGCTGGCTATGTCCAATTAAAGAGATAGTGCTTAAAATAAATTGATTCAACTTCGGGCATTTTTTCGTCACGGCGCCGGACTGACGTTTGAGGCGCAGGGCCGGACTGCCGAAAAAGCAGCATCCAGCGGAACGTTGCTGAGTCACTGTTACATAATGTTTGTCAAGGCTGCCGACAGCGTAGAAAGCACCTTTAATAGGCAAAAAGGTTTTTCGCAAAAATAACACCAATTTCTGTCAGTTGTTATCGTTTTGAAACCGCATTTTCAGTGTATTGCTTATCTTAATAATAGTTTTTACCCATTTTTTTGTTATAGTTTTTATTGCGATAAATTTTAATGCACTGTCGTTTAATATGACTAAACTTAATTTCAGTCTTCGTCAGTGCCTGTTACCAAGTTTTTTAATTTCACACATTTTGAGGAACTTATCTGGCGCCAGATGACGAATAATTCAATACATCGTAAATATTATTGTAAATAATTATTCTAATCAGCTATATCCCATTCCAGATGAACGTGACTTCCCACCGCTTGCAACGTTCTTAAGTTTAAATGTTATCGTATTATCAGCCATTTCTGACTAGATTTCATTTCAGTAAAAAAAATGTGACAAGTAAATATGATTTATAACTTGCTTTACAATGGACACAGACTATTTAAATATATAGTACATTTCAATATTTGACAAAACTGTTCTATAATATTGATCTTTATAGACTTGTCAAAGAAAAGGCTTTTAATCTAATGCATAATGTGTGCTCTGTTTCAGCCAACTTTTGCGTTTTAAATCCCCGAGCAGACAACGTCGCCAAGTACGTTTAAATATTTATCTTACCTATTTGTGTTTCTCTTGTTTACAGATCGTCCTGGCGAATTGAAAACTACGGCGCTAATCGTAATTACATTAAAAACCTTCAACCGACAAGCAATTTTTCTCACAAAGTTTAAAGTTACATTTTTTAAAGATATCTGAAATATGTCTGATTTGTAAAAACCTTCTTATACGCTTGAATCTTTCACTAGACGAAATTTAAATTCCACTATTGTTATTGTTACTTTTATTTTTAATCCAATTTAATATAGTGATGGGCGATTTTCCGCCGTAAAAATCGTAATTTACAATGTCAATAATTTACATTATCCCATTTTATTGTAGTTGCGGATTTATATTTGGTAGCTGCCGGTCGTAGAGGACTATACTTACCACAATAAAGCAGCGCCGAACTTTATAGCGTAGTAAATTGCGGGAAGTTTATTAGAACGTAAGGTCAGGTAGAAATAATCAAAAGCGTGTGTAAAAAAATATATTTATTTGGCAAACACAATTACCTCTATATTTTTCTGTCTTGGCTTCAGTATTTGACGACCGGCTTCACTGCCTGAATTTTCTTCAACAAAATCTGCAAAAAAAAATAATAATTTAATGTGAAAGAAATAGACCCCGACCCCTGGAGTCAATCAACACGCGTTTGAACGCACCCGATCAAACAAACAGCCTAATTTACTCAGGACAAAATTCACGCTTATGTCAAACCTGATTTTCCCAGTCAATCTTCTTCTGCGCTCTCCTGCGATTGATCGCCGAGCTGGTTACGTGGTACTTGTTCGGGAGCGACTTCGGGCGGGCCGGTTTCCGGCTATAAGTCAAAATTTTGTTCATCAAGATAGCGTTCTCCCGCTCGATTTCCCGGATTTGAGCTGGAGTGAAAGTTCGGTTGGGGAAAACCGTGGGTTTGTGTATGTCCTTGAGTCTTTCCAGGGTGCTCAGACTCAGCTCCTCGAAGTCGGCGTCTTCGTCCTGCGAGTCGTCCTCGAAGCTCTCATTGTCGTAGTTTTCCTCATCGGCGGAGAGTTCGTCGCCGGAAGCGTCGGAGGTCGAGGCACTTTTCGAAAGCGTGTCGGGTTGATTGGATTGGTGTGAATTGGTCGTCGACATTGCTCGGATTGGATTTGACACAGAATATTTCTTTTTTAGGAATTGTGTGATCAATATTTGGAACAATAATGCATGACATGACATAAAGTTTCTATAGCAACAGTTCATAAAGAGCGAGCAGTCGATAGTTTTTTGTTGGGGTTGGGGTGAGGGTGGGGGTAATGAGACGAAAGTTGTCATAAATAATTCTGCATTTAATAAATGATTATATTACTGAATAGAACAAAATATATTTACATATCAAAACAATATACACAATAATTTATATACACACATAAAATGTTAGTCAATAGTTCACGAGTATGGTCAATATCTTTAATGCGTACTAGTGCTAGCCGCGGACGCAGCCACACAACAATTGCACATAATGTAATAGTAAGTAAGACGTATATAAATTACAAAGTATTGCTTTCTTTGTTAGTCACATTAGAAAATATATCACTTATCCACTTTTGGCAGCTAAATGCCCCCTTACAAAATCAGCGCTCTAGAGTCTTTCGTTCCAAATGATAGTGAAAACGGTAAAGAAAGGTCGTACATCTAAACTATGACCATGTGGACACAATACGGAAATGATAAGTTAATAGAGTTCATTTATCATTACAACAGCTGTACCTATTACAATTATTACAGTATAACTATGGCGAACGATAATCAAAAGGACTAAAGTAAAAAAAAAAGAAAACGATGAACAATATCGGCAGTAAGTTACAGATTCTATGATGCATATGTTTATGGATACTGACAGTACGCTATTCTAATGATTAATGGACCTGATTAAAATGGTGGCCCAGATCTAATTTTTAGATATAGGTAGAGTGGAGACAAGCACCGAGGATAGAATTGTAAAACTTAATAAAACGATATATAAATATGTACATCTATGGACTATGTCTGCTAATTTATATTAAATGGATCGTTAAATATAGTTCAGTCAATGCTACGATCGATGATGACCAAATAACGTAAAATCATCATAAGAAACTGCAGCACAAAAATGATCATTTCGTTACTCATGTCATGGCGAGTCACTAGAATTTTCCATATAAAAAGCTTCTGATATATGTACAGTCCTTAGTATTGCCTTAACTAGAGAACTATGTGCAAGAGTCTTTCTAGATATCCGCGAGAGTGGCGACTCGGCTACCCTGTAGGAAACATGTCATTCGTTATCAAATAGGCCTTTTGATTGCTTGTACACAACACAGTTACAACTTGGACAGTTCATGGCTTATTCACAATCTCTTCTTTAACTTATGATTATCAAAATATCGCCACGAATTTTATTAAAAATAGTAATTTGTTCCTATAAATTAGTTATGTACTTCTTCTCTTTTATTAAAGAACGACTAGGATTTGATTTGATGTTGACTTTATGGCACATAAAAAATATTTTCTGCTGACGATTTACTTAATATCACCACATTTTATTTAAATCACGACTCGTGCCGGTGCAAGCGCCCCCTCCTCGAGCCGCTCTTTCGCCGCTTCCTCTTCGTGTCCCGCTGGAAGGCCACGTTCCCCGGGTCGTCCGCCAGCTGCGGGTACTTGTGTATGCTGTGTATGTCCACGCCCTCGTACCCGTCCACGTCCCCGTGCGAGATCAGCTCCTCCTTCTCCTCCTCCGTCCAGTCGCCGCGGCCCTGGAAGCCCGCCGCCACCAGCTGCTTCTCCAGCTCCCAGGCCCTCTCCACCGCCCGCTTGTGCGCGTGCCGCAGGATCTTGTGGGTCTCCTGCTCGGGGTCGGCGCCGTACTTGATGATCACCACCGCGTCGGGGTTGTGCAGGCGCAGCTCCTTGATGGTGGTCGCGCCGTGGTCCGTGATCTCGTGCGTCGACACGTTGAACATGCCGCCGAGCCGGCGCAGCTCCTCCAGGTCGTCGCGGATCTTGAGCACGTTGTCCTTGACGAAGTAGAACACGTCCTGGTCGTGGATGCTGAACTGCAGGTTGAGGAAGAAGGAGTTGTTGAACACGGAGGTGACGACGTCCTGCACCACGCCGTTCACGCCCTCGACCACGCTGACGAGGGCCCGGCTGCCGGCGCGCGAGATCAACACGCCCTCGCCGAACACGGATCGCCGGTAGGCCACGCGGGGCAGGAGGTTGCGCGTCTTGGGCTCCATCTTGAGCAGGGGTTTAGGAACGAAGCCCAGGTCGGTGAATTTCTCGTTGACCTGGAAAACGACGACGGTTAGGGCTAGATTTAATGCAAGATTGCGTTGGGGGATCGAGAGGATCAGGCGGACGGGGGTTTAGAAAGAATAAGATCGGCGGCGAGGTTGTCAGAAAAATTATTTTCATTTCCCTGGTGGCTCGACCCGTGATTCTCCATTATTCTAAGATATTGGCCGCAAACTGGTTTCTGTTTCGAAGTCTAATTCCCCATACCAACCCGGCGACGGAATCTCTCCATGTTGTTCTCTGGCGAAATTTCGCAGAACTAAATGGCCGATTTGAGAAATGAATACTGCCAATAACAACTTTATTGTACAAATGCATTATATACTGACCTCTTGTGGGAAAAGTCGTAAAATTTGTGTCGGCACACTATGACCGTGGGAAGTGAGGAAAAATAACCACACCTGATGGTCTAATGGTCCGACAAGTGGGAGACGGGGTTCAAATCTGCTTTGGTGGTGATATTTTTCCTCACTTCCACACATCTATTAAACGTTTAAAACCTATAAGTATTGGTTCTCGAAGTATAGATTGCGTTCTTTGTAAATTTTCTTCCTCCTGGTAAAATTAGATTCTCGTTTTATTAATAGAAAGTGTCTTACCTTTTCCACGATGCACTGCAGGCCCGATATCACCCCGAAGTCGGGAGCCAGCTGGGGTGAGGTGATGGTGGCCTGCGGTCTGTACACCATCCGGCTGATGTATTCCGATCCCAGCATGTTTTTCATGTCGTATCCGTAGAGTTTTAGCCAACTATTCAAATTGGTCATGTAATCGATAGTTGATTTTGAATTAATGGGGTCGTTATTGTTGAAGCGATAAATAAACACATCAGTTGGTGTCGTCAGTTTCGTTGCCAGCTGTTCCCAGGCGGGCGTCATCCACTGCCCTACCACCGGATCGTATAATCTCTTATTAATATAAACCAGCTTGGTGTTGGGATCCAGAATTCCCCCGTGGAAATCCACCGGCAGATAGAAGTCCGGATTGGTATCCAGCATGATACTGCCAGAAGGCGTCCTTCTGATCTCTTTGATGAGATTGGCATTAATATCGAACAGGGCCAGCGGCGAGCCGTTCTGGTCCGTGGCCACGTAAAACCGCTGCTCGGACGTTTCCACGGTTATGATAACATTTCTCGCGTCGTACAAGAATCGGAACGTGCGTCCGGTCTTGGGGAAATGTAAATGTGTGACTAAATCCGGGGTGCTCGGATTCGAATAGAGATACTGAGTGACGTTGCCTTTATCGTCGTTCCATGAAATCAAACGACCTCTGTCGTCGTAATAATACCACGTCTGGAATTTGTCTCGTTCGAATGCGTGAATCAACAGACCCCGAGAATTGTATCTGTACTTCTGCTCACCCCGGCGGACCACAAAGCCTCGGTTATCGTAGCTGTTGAACTCGACGTCCCCGTATTGCACCACTCTGTCACCGCTGTCGTAACCCAGCGAGATCTTCTCCTTCTCCTTAATCACGCCGATGATGTTACCGTTCTCGTCGTACACGTACTTCCAGTTACTCGTGCCCACCACCTCCAACACGTGCCCGTCGGAGTTGTACGACACCCGATCCATAAACTGCGTTCGACCGACTAACAACTTTTGAAGTTTGATTCTGTTACGACTATCGTATTCGACTTCGAGTCGGAACACGTCGAACGACTTTATATTGATAAGTATGGATTTGATGCGTCCGTGATCGTCGAAGTCGGTTATCGTAAAGAACTGCTTACTGGTGTCTTGCATGACGGACCTGTTGAAGGTGTTCCGGTACACCCGCAAGTCGCTGATTCCCTCGAGAATTCCGAGGTTCTGGTTGTATTTCAGCCGTAATTGCGGAAGCTCTTTGCCGTTGATGTCTACGTCGATACCAGATAGGCGGGCGTTACCGTCGTACTGATACTTGTAATGGGCGTTATCGAGTCCGCTCTTACTGTTGAATTTGAGCTTTTCGTCTTTGAGAATTCCGGCGTGGTATTTGAACTCTTGTTTCAGCTCGAAGTTGGGTTCCACGATTTCTATGCTCTTCACCAGACTGGACGACTCGTGGTAGACGTATTGGGTGGAGCTCATTCCAGCTAGACTCGTCTCTAGTTTACCGGCGGAGTCGTAGACGTAGGAAACGCGACCTGACTGGTGAGGGTACACCTTGGCTAGGATTTGTCCGTCGTCGTTGTAGATGATTTCGTACGGATGGCGATTCATGGGTGAGAAATACTGGTACTTGAAGAAGCCCAACGACGTCTGTAGCGAGAAAGTGTGGATGTGTCCTCTGGGTGTAGTCAAAGATTGAAGAGCTCCGGCTTCGTCGTACTGCAGGAGGTAATCCGACCCTCTCGGAGTGGTCACTTTCAGCGGCTACAAAATTCGAAAGTTTAGAATAGCGAGTTTGTGTGTGAGTTGAAGTGACTTACCAAACTGCTGAACATGTCTTTGAACGCGTACACTAGCGATGATTCGTCGCCATATTTGATTTCGAACAGTCTCCCAGCCCTATCGAAGACGTAACTTTCGCTCAAATCTCCCCATTTCCAGTTGCTGAGTCTACTGAATCTGTCGTATTCGAGTTCGACTTCTGCAAAAATGCCGTTTCTGGGTCCCCATTTGACCGGCCTGGCCGATCGATCGTAAGTCACGTTGAGGAGTTCGACTTTATCGTCCATGAAAACGGAAATCGAAGCCGTATCTCTGTCGTATTCTAATGTGAGCAAGTTTTCGCCGTTGACTCTCAACTTGCGGCCCACTTTCGATATAGTCTTGGGAGTTGAACTCTTGCCTTTATTCTGGTTCGGTCTGACGAAATAGCGCCATTCAAACCTATTGGCCAGATCGCCGCCGATTTCCGTCCGCTGTTTAGCCGGCACGGGATAGCTTTCTCCCAGTAGCGGTTCTTTGTCGGCGAGGATATTGTAAGGCACGGTATCGGTGGTGATGCTGTGCGACCAGGGCGAATTGCTGGCCACGCTGCCGTCGGCCAGCAAAATGATCTTGTTCTCGGCGTCTCCCACTTTCGTCGACACGCTCGAGCCTTTGATCAGCATCGAGATGGGTTTCTTATTATTTTGACCCACTTTCACGGTGGCTCCTTTCACGCTCAGATCGAACGATAAACTTATCACTTTTCCCGTAGGTGTCACGGCCGACGTCAGCCTTCCGAACTCGTCGTAATTATAGACGTAACTTCTTCCGCTGCTGTCTAATTTCGTTTTCAGCAGCCCCGTGGGACCGTGGTAGTCGAAGGTGACGTTGTAATTATCGGGAGTGCTCAGCTCGTGCAGCATCCTCATCCTGGACATCCGCAACCTACACTTCTGCCCTTTCGTGTTCTCGATCGAGTTCACCTGGCTCGAGTAGTCCCTCAGCAGGAACACCTTGTTTCCGGCGGCGTCCGTCACCGTGCTCAGCTTGCCGTTGCTCGTGTTCACGTTGTACGTGAACACGTAGCTCGTCTCCCCCGTCAGGATGTTCTTGGTGGCGATGTGTTGCCCGAATCGGTTGAAAATATAGATTTCCTGCGTTTCGGGCGAGTAGATCTCGTATTCCCTCGAAATGCTGGCGTCTGGAATGCTCGCCATTACGGACCTTATCCTGTAATTGGCTTGATCGCCGATGTGGACGTGGCCGTCGGGGCTGACTGTTACAGCCGAAATCGTATTAAACTTCGAGTTCGATGCTAAGTAGTGTTCCGCTTCGAAACAATCGCATCCACGTTCAAGACAATTACATTTGGATTCAGCTCCAGCGTAAGGACCGATCTTGCCATCAGTACCGATCACTCGAATGCGATTAATTCTCTGGGAATCGCTTTCAGCAATGTACAAATCTCCAGCCGAGCTGAAAGCCAAACTTTGAGGCATCACGAGAGTAGCATGTGTGGCTAATTCGACGTCGTAACCACTCGCCGGAGATGCGCAGTGCAGAGGTCTTCCGGCCACCACTTTGACGCGTCCGTCCAGCGTGAGCTGGAGGATCATATGGTCGTCGATTATGTGCAAGGTGTTATCCAGAGGGTTTATCGCCAGCTCTGTGGGCCAGCGCAGGTGGACTTCCTCGATCGTCAAGGTGCCCTCGCACGGTAGGGGCTTCCAGTGAGACTTGTGCATATGGTTTCCGATAACCGTGGTCACGATCCCGTCTCTGTCTACCATACGGATGTTCGTACCGTCAGCAAAGTACAGAACGTTGTCGTTAGAAACCGCTACACCTTTAGGATAGGCGAGTTTGGCGTCGCGGGCTAGGGCTCCGTCGCCACAGTGGGCTTCATCTCCTGGGAGACATCTCTCCCCGGAACCCACTACGGTCTCCCAGTTGTGGTCCGGGTCGCTGTAGTCTTGTGTGTTTCGTACGCGGATGATTTGGTGGGACTCGGGGTCCGAGATGTACAAAGTCCCGTCAAGCGGGCTTAGTGCCATGTGATAACGATAAGAGACTCTAGTGGCGCTGGAAAGATATTTATTCGTTACGTTGTTGTTACTGGGGCTCCGGTCACTTACTTTAACCTAACGACAGTACGGACTCGACCGTCCGTCAAGATTTTCCGAACTAAGTTGAAGTCCCCGACAAAAATGGAGCCATCAGGGGCCGCTGCTAGAGCAACCGGAGCTAGTAATCGTTGTTTGGACGCTTGACCTTCGCAGTCGTTGCAGTCTAAAGGTCTTTGATGCCCATCACCCATTGTCGTCAGAATCACCCTCGGTTTATGTTTAAGGTAAATATTAGACCCGTCTCCCTTTTGTAAAATACCTGAAAACAAAACGTTTACTTACGCTCCACCAAGCAACCTTCGTCCGATTTACCTTCGTGGAAGTTATATCTGTGATGAATGTCAAGATTCCACCCCCCTACCTCTGAAATGCTCATATCGTGTCCGCTCAACTTTGTCGTCTGAACGTCCCAAATAATAGTCTTGCAGTCGCTGTATTCATACCCGACTTTAACAATAGCCGTCGTCACTCCGTACACTCTTTGTCTGTAGACGTTGAGTCTGTTCCACGCGTACGTGAACTTGATCACCGGATCCGCCTCGAATGTCTTTTCGAACAAGATCCCTTCAATGGTAATTCTGAGGTGTATCAGATTCAAAGTCGGCGGGATAGTTTCCGGTGTCAGCTGCAGCTGGATCGTTGACAAATACCCGGCCGCCCTGGAGCTATGGTACACCAAGTTGAGGCCGGTTCCGGGAATTTGTAGACTCTCCTGCACCACTTGTGACTCGGCTAAGATGGCACTCCGGTCGGGGCAGGCCCCTTGGAAGCCGTGCTTCCATGTGGCGAGCACCACCGGCTTCATGGTGTCGAAATCGTGTGAAGTGCACGGTTGCGGCATAGCCGAGACCGGTTTCTCTTCGCCGGTCGTCATAACGACGTTGTCGATGATGACGACTTCGTTCCACGGGACGAAAACGATGTGGGTTTGGGGGCGGAACGGGGCACGGCCGAACTGTAAAGTGACTGCGCCGCCTCCGTTTACCAGGAGGTCGAACCAGCCGTCGTCTCGCGTGAGAGTGAAGCCTTCCAAGGGCGTGCTGGTGCTGACGCGGACGCCCATCAGGCCGGTCCCCATCTGGGTTATGACGCGTCCTCGGACCACGGCGGAGCGGCTAGAGGGAGAAGGTTTCGGGTTAAAGGAGACATTAGACTGATGCGCAAAGAAATAAACGGCAAACAACACAAAATTATAAAAGCTAACCAAAACTTCACGAACACAAGTGGACTTTTGTAACGAAAATCAACCAGGCACAAGTTGCTACACCTAAAAATGGTCTACGAGTACTTAAGTTGTAACTAGAGTTTGTTATTACGGCTAGAGGTAGCCTTACCTTGTGTTGAAGTGATTCCAAAATATACTGAGCAGCAGGAATAAAAGAAAGCCAAATCGTTAACAATCGGTTTCGAAACTTCCTGTTTTTTTTTTTTTTCGTTAATTTAGGTTGATGCACCGGCTTACAAGAAGTTATTTGCATGTTGCGTTTTGTTAATGGGCTCGAGTGTCGGTATTCGGACAATAAGCACGTAAAAACAAAACCAGTGATTTTTAAATCAATTAAGTCACACAAAAGGAAGTGATTGTCACATGGGGCACAACAATGCGTCTAGAGAAAACTTCTTACATTTAACAAGGGCACATCAAACATGTTATCGAGAAAAAACATTGAAAAAACCCACACCGGAGGTGTAGTAAATCGAATGAAAATCACAATACGTTCCACATACCTCTCGTTGAACGTTTCTGGCCGCGCGTAGTTCTGCAAACTGCCTTCATCAATCAAAAATTTCATTCTCTCGAAGAAAGACGCGGTGATTGCCGGAGGTTGCTTTCTCAGTAATATGTCGATGGGTTTAGGAGAAGAGACGCACAGCTGACTACTCCCGCATAAGCGATTCGAGCAGCACTCGGGATCCTCGCAATCCACCAATCCATCTACGCCGAAAGAACGCTATTAATATCACCCAGAACACCCGACCGACGTTACCTTTGTCGTTATCACGCCCATCGTTGCAGTTCTGTTCCAACAAAATACTGCAATCGGGCCCGTCCCAACCGTTGTCGCAGCGACATTCCCACATGGAATCTCCGTTAAACCTGCACTGACCGTGGGAGGAACAGCTATTGGGACAACCCTCCATGGTACAGTGTTTCCCGTTCCAGCCCGTCACGCACAAACACGTCCCGTTCTTGCACTGCCCGTGCTCGTTGCATCTGGGATCGCACTGCTTCAGGTTGCAAAACTCGCCCGACCAGCCTGGGTCGCACTGGCACGCGTCCGACACGCAGTGCCCATGGTTGCCGCAGTCCAGGTCACACAATTCTGGAACATGACTCATTGTTCCAGGTTGCGTGTTTGTCATTGTTAACAAGTAAAACAAAAACGTGAAATTATTTGTTACGATTGTGGTTAAAATTTTGAGTTTTTGGTGTCCTAGGGGCTAATTACCTCTGGAGCAATCCTCGCCCGACCATCTGGGCTCGCAGGTGCACGTTTGCGTGTCCAAGTCGAACGTCCCGTGTCCCGAGCAGTCCGGGAGACACTGGAGGGCGTCCTTGTCCATCTGGCTGCAGTCCGGTCCTTTCCAGCCCTTCTTGCACAGACAGGTGCCCTCGACGCAGTATCCGTGCCCCGAACAAGTGGGATGCGGGCAATCCACTATAGAAAAATTTCGAAGGTAAAGTCCTGGAATCGAGAACGGCTCCGATAAGCTTACCCTCTTCGCAAAACTTGCCCTTATAACCCCTTATGCAATTGCATTTTCCGTTAGCACAGTGTCCGTGACCATTACAGTCAGGCACTTCGCATTCATCATGCCTTAGTTGACATTCCTTCCCTTTCCAGCCGGGATTGCATTGGCATTCACCATTGATGTATTCACCCCGTTGACTGCAGAGGACGGGGCAAACACCTGACAGAAATACATTCAGTCATGCTTAAGCTCGAGCTGTTAGTGGCAGTGGCAGTCAGCATTCGTTCTACTCACTCTCGCTGCAGTCGTCGCCCCCGAAACCCGGGTTGCACTGGCAGTGCCCCATGAGGCACTCGCCCTTGCCGCTGCAGCCGTTGGGACAATTGTGGGTCATGTCGTCGGCGATGACGGCCACGAAGGTCACCTCCTGGGGGTCGCCGTCGTCGTTGTACAAAGAGAGGAACCAGTGGCCTTGCTCCATGTAGTGGGTTACCTCTTTCTTCACGGATGACTAAAAGACCAAACAAACCTTGACATCTGCGTTTAATTACTAAATTTTATATTGACGTAGAGAGTGAGGAGAGATAATCGTAAGGCCTGATAGTCTAGTGGTTAGTACACCCGCTGGAAAGTGGGAGGCGTGGGTTCGAATCCCGCTCAGGTCGTAACGTCTTTCCTTATTTCTATGTATTTAGTTCAGTTGTTTTACTTACGTGTGACGCTCTCGTGGTTCTGGCTTTGAACCCGCTGAGGACCTCGAGGATGTGGTACTGGGTGTGCGTGGGGAGGGCGTTGCGGCGGGCGTAGACCCCTATGCTGGCCCCTCTCGGTATATTGTAGTCGAACCTGACGTAGGCCGCTTCGGATTGATAGAATTGCATGTTCCAGTAGCCGTACGGCGGGATTTCTTTGGAAAGCCTTTGCCCTAACGATATTTGGGAGAACGTGGTCCCGTCCGGGGGGAATGATTGTGCGGGGAATGTACGAGCACCTATTAATAGTCAACGTTAAGAGTCTGAAGATGCCTCGTTCGAAACTAGGCGTCAATTACAGAAAGCGCTGAAGCCTTTACAACGTTAGCACAAAACTAACTCTCTACAAATACGGAAGGGAAGTAAGAGTCATGCAAAAATGTTAGGGTGTAGTTTGTCTTTGCTTAGCTTGTTAATTCGCTAAGCGCGTAGTCTATCGACGCTGTCCTACCTTCTAGTATGAGAATAGTGGGTGGCGGCGGTAATTTGGTGGTAACTTCCGGACAGACCGTCGCCGGCGTCCACGTTTCCGAAGTTTCCGTCGTGTCTGTCGCATCAGACACCGAAGAAGCTTCGTCGCTGTGGAAATCCGGAGCCGCTGTTGTCGCTTTCACCGCGTCATCTCTGTAGTCGTAATCCGTGTTATTGTTAGCATCTGCAAATTCATTTGATGCATCCATACATGGACACGAACACTCGCACGCCCCACCCCAAGGCCCGTCGCGTTTCTCGGTCTCGAGGGGCGTTTGGGTGGTTCTTTTATCGCCCTCTTCTTTCTGAAAGCTGTGCTTAATATCGCTGTTAGTGGCTTGGTTAACGCCATCGTCGGTTGGCACGGACACAGATAGCACGTAAACGGACTGAGCGGCGTGGGGGTTGTTAGAATCAGGCTCGGTGGCTATAGTCACGTTCACTAAAACCCTTTTCGCCGAACTCGGCCCGAAAGAAGCCACCGGAGGCACCTCGATCACTCTAATTTTCGGACTCGCAACGGCCTCGGCCTGGAATTGTTTAGTCACCGTGTTAGTGGCGTTACTCTCATGCAGCAGCAAAGGCTCGTTAAAATTTACAACCGGCTTCATCGCCAAATCCGCACCCGGGTTCGGCAGCGCGGACAAATTCGAGTCCGTCAGCTCTTTCGAGTCGCTGTTTTTATCGCGAGCAATCGAGTAATTGGTTTTCGTTTTCATGGTCGTGGAGAAAGGTTCATGATTCAGTTTTACGATCTGCACCTCGTCCTGACGCTCGTAAGCGTACTCCTCTCGAATCTTTGATTTTATCTCCTCCGACGTCTGGTCCTCCACTTCGAGTTTGGACTCTGCGTCTAGATCGATACTCGAGAAGAACGACTCGGGGTCGTCTTGCAGCTGCGACGTGTCCAGGAAACTGTGGTCGGCGTCGGCTTCCTCGAACTGGTAACTGTCGTCGGTCTCCGTCGTAGTTAAGGGGTCTGGAGGTGCCGTCGTCGTGACATTCTCCACCTTCTGGATTTGAGTGTGCTCAGTTTCAGCTGGGGGGCTATTAGTAACAGTCGAAAGCTGTGTTCCGGTGTCGGTGACGTTTGTGTCATGCAAAGGTTCAAGGGTACTAGCATGCTCTCTATCTATATCATGCTCGGTGGTACTTGAATTGGGGAAATTGACAGCAGTCGAGTCGGAAGTGATATTTGACAACACAAAAGCATGCGATGGTGGGTTATCAACTTGTCTACGTTTTCGTGAATAGACAAGTGCAAGGAAATTACCTCCAGATGAAGACGTCTTCGGCCTACTGGACGTCGACAAGTTTGTTTCGGAGGTGGCGCTTTTGGACGCTGGCACGAATTGCGTGTTCTCTCCGACCAGAACCGAACACGGCTTTGCGCTTTGATATGACCAATTCAGTACGCTAGAGGCTGCGGAAACAAAATTAGTTAGTGTGAAAGCTATAAAGAAAGTATTAGGTTATTTGCCTGTTACATTTGTTTTGGTTAATGGTAATTTATTAGCTCGATGTTACCACTGATATTAATAAATCAGGGGATCAACTTGTTATTTCATTTGGTTTATCAAGATGAGTTCGTGGCTGCACCGTTATTCTTTCTTCGGATGAGTTTAAGGTGACAGAGATTTATATGAGAGATTAACACTAAAGTGACTAAAGTACTATTAATGTGTGTTCCTGAGAAAAGTCTACTTAAACTGTGCTTCAGTAAGAAGTCGTTTATCATTGTTTTTGGTTTGACACAAATACATACATACATACAAGTATTTTTGAATAGAATGAATAGACTATGAAGCTTGGAAACGCTGCGATGTTTTCCCTATGTTCTTCAACTCGGCTCCTCAAGCCACTATTTTTGTTATGTATGAGGGGCGCCGCATTCTTACCTGAGATGTACGTGAGCGCAGCTGTCAAAACGACCAGCAGCATGATGCACACAATAGCCGTACACTTCCACGTGCATTTGGAAGCTATCCCTTTTCTGAAATGAAAACGGCTAGCTTGCGGAAAGTGACTGGAGTTGGGGCGGCGTAGATTATTTCGGACGGGCAGGACAGGTACCTGGGCCCCGTATGGGATGCCGCATCTGTCGGAATTCTTCATGTCTTTCGACGGGCTACTGCACGACGAGTTGGACTTGTAGTCGATCGTCGAGTTCTTGGGGTGATCTGCATGCAGAAATAATTCGTTGCTTGATTACCGTGATTGCGAGTTGTCAGAAAAGTGCAAAGTCCGTAATTACCGGCCGGCACGCTATAATTTCGAGCGAATTCCCGCAAAGGCGGTGCGGAGCGTTCGCAGCTATTTCGTTTATGTATTCAGGAATGTTTACTTTTATTCACAAGTGGAGTAGTAAGACATGGAATGTTTATTATTGCCCGATTGGTTTATTTGCGCGGAAATGTTGCAACGGCGTGCAGAAGACGACATTTTTCGTTTGGGGGAGTGTAAACGGCCGCCGGCGAACTCGCAACTGCAAACAATTTAAATCAACAAATTAGGGCTGATTGGGGCACAATCGTCAAAACCGATAATTGTATTTGCGCTGATAAACTCCACGGAATTGTATTATGCAGCGATGAGGCGGAAGGGAGGTTCTCAGAGCGGCACCACTTTGACTTTGGTTCGAAAAGACACGAGAAGCTAAAGTCCAGATGGTATGAATACTTAACGAAAAGTTTTAAGAGTGTTCCCTAAATTTTCGTCAAAATTATTTAGTTTAGTTTAGTTTATGTACATCTATTATATTTTTTCTGCGGTACGTGTATTTCACTAGAATTTTATATAAAAAATAGTAGACTTAGTCAGGTCAGGTCAGATTAGGTCAGGTTGTCAGTTCAATTCTGGTCAGGTCAGGTTCGGTCATGTGAGGTCGGGTCACTTTAGGTTAAAAAAAGTCTTAGTAGACGGTTCAGGTTAGGTTAGGTTCGGTCGGAACACGTTGTTAGGTCCGGCCAGAATTTGAATTTTTTATTTTTGCTGGGTCAACTTGATTTCAGATTATTACTTTCTCGCATCTAAAAGAATGGATCATTAACATTTTTTAACTGAGAAGTTTTTGGGGTTTAATGTTCGTACATTAAAGCGATAATGAATCATATTTTGTCAAAATAAATAAAAAAGTGGTCGGGAAAAAACCGAATTTGCATTTTTTTTTTTTTTTATTTTAATGCAGATATCATCGTAGTCGTCATGTTGCTAGGCGATTTTTCCTTGATGTGTAACAATACAAAAAAAAATTGGTCGAAGGTTATTTCGGTAGAACTTCCCTTGTCTTTGAAGTAAAGTCCGACAAATCCCGCTTCTTTAAAAAAATATAAAATTGAATTTTCCGATTTTCGTTTTGTGATAACCTCTGTAAAGTAAAAACCAGCGTACAATGCGAAATATATTTAAATATGTAATTTCAGTGATTTTGTCTCGTCAACGCAAAGGAGAGGACTAATTAATTAATTAATTAATTCAGTTTTTTCCTCAAAAACACCCATAAATTTGAACATTTCTTCAGCAACATTGTAAGATGACGAACAAATTTTGATTAACGATTTTTCATGCTTCCAATAACCTTAAAATATTTGCAAAATTTAACAGCATTAGGTTTTTCAAAGTTAAATTGTAATATACGATATATTTTTGATTATTTTCTCAAAAATCTAGATGCCAAGGGTAAAAAATTGGTCCAACAAATTCTGCTTTTTTGAAATAATGCAAAAATGTCCTTCAGCACTAGGTAATAGCAATCTGAAGCTCAAGTGTTTATTTATGTTTATACATCAAAAGAATGTCACGTAGAAATTAGTTTGATTTGAATGAGTTTGTCTTCTCAAAATTTCACAACAATCGGTACAGCAGTTTCGGAGATTAGTGTCTAATTGTTGTTTTAAATTTACGGTAAGCACAATAAATTTTTAATCAAAATATATTTGCTTGTCCCCCAAAAAATTGATGACGTCATCTCAAAATTTTGCCGGCTAAATCCTAAATCTAAAATGTGCAAAATATGACTTAAAAAAATTAATGAATGTGTGAGCTTATTTTAATGATTTATACAGGAACTGCAAAACCGAATGCTTTGAAATCTTGGAGATGTTTTAAAGTTATCATAAGCATGGTAAATTTTTTATCAAAATGTATTTGCTCAACCCCCCTAAAAAATTGATGACGTCACCTCAAAATATTACTGAATATATCCCTTCTTAAATGTGCAAAATATGAAGAGTCTATACTTGTGATTTATTTTTAATACATAATTAATATTTTTTAAATTTGCTTATACAGGGTGTCTCAGAAAAATTAATGACTGAGTTGTTAAAAAATAAATATCCAATCAGATTTAGGAATTTAACTCGTTACTATGGAACTATGCAATTTAACACCTTTCAAATTTAACAAGTTTCTACAAGTTTAATAGGGGTAATATCAGTCTTACCTTAGCAAGTGCTAGCCCCGCCCACCCGCCCTCTATTTTCTCAGAGGGAATGAATGGAATTGGCCAAAATCAGTCTTATTACTAGCCCCGCCCATCCGCCCGTTCCTTTCTCGGAAGGAATGGCATTTGCCAAAATCAGTTTTATCTTAGCAAGTACTAGCCCCGCCCACCCACCCTCTATTTTCTCAGGGGGAATGGCATATGCCAAAATCAGTCTTATCTTAGCAAGTAACAGCCCCGCCCACCCGCCCCATATTTTCTCAGAGGATATGCCATTTGCCAAAATAAGACTTATCTTAGCAAGTATTACTACCCTCTGACAAAATAAAGGGTGTGTGGGCGGGGCTAGTACTTGCTAACAAGTCTTATTTTGGCAAATCACACATCCTCTGAGAAAATAGGGGCGGGTGGGCGGGGCTAGCACTTGGTAAGATAAGAGTGATTTTGGCAAATGACAGACCCTCTAAAAAAGTAAAGGGTGGGTGGGCGGGGCTAGTACTTGCTAACATAAGTCTTATTTTGGCAAATCACATATCCTCTGAGAAAATAGGGGCGGGTGGGCGGGGCTAACACTTGGTAAGATAAGAGTGATTTTGGCAAATGACATACCCTGTAAGAAAGTAAAGGGTGGGTGGGCGGGGCTAATACTTGCTAACATAAGTCTTATTTTGGCAAATCACATATCCTCTGAGAAAAGAGGGGCGGGTGGGCGGGGCTAGCACTTGGTAAGATAAGAGTGATTTTGGCAAATGACATATCCTTTGGAAAAATAGAGGGCGGGTGGGCGGGCCTAGTATTTGTTAATATAAAACTGATTTTGCCCCTATTAATCTTGTAAAAACTTGTGAAATTTAAAGGTGTTAAATTGTAAATTTCCATAGTAACGAGCTAAATTCTTAAATCTACCCGAAATGTGCAAAATATGATGAGTTTTTGCTTGTGATTTATGTATGCATTCATATTTTTTAGATTTGCTTATACAGGTGGTTAAAAAAAAAATGAATGTATCAATTTATTTTATTGATTAAATCAGGGGCGGCTCACTCCATTTTTCCAGAAAATTTTGGAAATACAATATTGTTATTTTTATTATTACACTGCACCAATCCAAGTAGATATACGTGTCCTTGGAAAAATGTTGATGACGTCATCACAAAATTCTGTAAAGTAAAAACAATTTTTTAACCCTTCAAAGGGAGCAATCAACTGGGTCCAGGTCCAGAGATATTCGTGGCTATTTAACAACCCATCTGCTACCTGTCCCATTTATCTTCAAATAAATTCATCAAGTAAAGATCAACTGTCAGAATGTTACGAGAACCTCCCTCTTTTGTTGAAAAAGTATTCTTTTTAGTTAGTTAAGTGATCTATTATCTAAAACGTCTTCCATTTGATGAGGAATTTCTAGGTAGGTAATTTTGACCATCGACTTTTGGTTTTAAACGGGTTTAACGTACGTTGGGTCTGTTCATATGGCCCCGAGTCCTTTAATTTGGGGTATCTTCAGTTTATTGCAAACAAAAACACCTTATACTGTATCAAAGTGAAAATATTCGGCACTATTCGATTTTCGAAAATTGGTTTCTTTTCTATTTCAAAACACTTTACGGAGTCTGTGGCTTGTTTGTCGTTATTTCAAATTGATATTACGAACATTATAGATATTATTTTCCAAAATCGTTGAATCAAAGGTCAAATTTCCATAGACTTTATTATCGTTATCAGACAACAACAAAGACGGATAAAATTCGCAGTAATCGTAACCCCGCCAACGTCACTGTCCCATTTGTTGTGTTCAAAATTTCGATCAAAATTAATAAGCCGAAATTGTTTTCGTTCTCTCGCGTTGGTATTTTTATTTCCTGAACGTTTAGGGCAACGAGAAGTCCTTTCACACTTTATTACACTTAAATAAAGAAGAAGACAATGAAATCAATCGTGGCAGTGTTGTTGTCCCACTTAAGTACGTTCTAAAGTTCAAGCGTTCGCTCAAAATCAATATGCAATACCTGTTTCAGAGCTATTAAAATTTCCTAATTAATTTAGACCCAGGATAGTATTTCTGTGTACTTTATTACCACCATCATTAAACAAAGAGGAAGATCATCAAATTCGCAGTAATCGTAGCCTTGGACCACTTTCGACTTTCGCTGCACGGATCAAATTTAGAAAAAATCCATATTTTGACAAACTTCCGTATAATTTTTTTTTTTTCAACAGGTACGCTGTCAAAGAAGTTTTGTCTGAGAAACGAGCGTCGAGATTTAGATGAAATTCTCGTTGTCGCGGGGACAATACGTGAAGAAATAACCCCATTGAATCACAAAGACCAGACATCTAATAAACGTAATTTCAGTAGTGTCCGAGCTATTATGTAATAGATTCGAAAGTACGAGTAAGCAATACCTCTTCGAGTCCTATTGTCGCACTACCAATTTCGAGCTACCGAGTATCCTTCCTGCACCTCGCGTAACTTTTGTCTATAAATTCACTTAAACCTTGCCCGCACGCGCTCATTTGGCCGACACTAAATCGTTCAACAGCACATCAATTTCAGCCCGAGTAAAGCAACAATAAAACCAATAAAACTGAAGAACTCACTCAACGTCCCCGATGGTATGTACACATTTCCGGAAGGCGTCCGAACGAGACAAGAGGGTTCGAAGTCTTGAGTGGGATCTGCCGGTGGAGCCGTGGCCAGGCGCCCATTTAACCGATTCATGGTGGGGTTCCGAGGTGGAACATCTGGTGGACGTGGAGCTCCGTCCAGCAAACAACCTGCAAGAAAATTGGTAGCCGTGATTGTTTTGGCCGAGTGCGCGCTCGAGGGCGGTTGTTGCGCGACTAGCATGTCCTACAAGACCCGGGCCAGGTCAAAACTGATCTTTTAAGGGGATTAAGATAACAATACGGCGTACTCGACTACAATATCGCACAAGGTGAAGGGGACCCATAGGGCCACTTTAAACATTTCAAACCATTAGTGACGGGACGGCGTTATTGTGAAATTTGACGCGCTTGGGTGGAAAAAGCCGTTCGGGGTCGTGTTTGGGACGCGGACGGGGGTTATTTAAATTGCCGCCGATGTTTCCGAGTTTTAAAATTTATAGATAGAGATCGGTATTATTGCAAGAGATAGTGTGCTTTTCCGGCTCTGACAACCTCATTATCATGTAAAAGAAAAACGTATTTTCTATGAAGAAACTTTTATAATGCTAACGCGGGTGCTTTGCATTTTTATCTACTTTACGTGAGTTCACGTTCAATAAATATTTCATCGTTTAAACATTCCCAATAAATATGAAATATGTTTTCGCCACATTCACATGAGGAATTTAGACGGAGAATACGATGCACTTTTTCTTTGTGTGCGGGTTTTCCAGCGTGTCGAGACTCGCATTGAGCAGTTACGAGGCCATTTTCAATTTCCAGGTTTCTTTTTTCATAAACGGGAAATAAATCGTGAAAGGGAAAAATTCCGTCTGAAATAATCGAACGAATGTCGCTGGGGGCCAATTTCGCTCCTTTATTATTACAGTTATTTACCAATGATGTTACTAGTGGTGTCGCTAGTAGTTTCATGTTGATCGTAGTCGTACGACTGTTTGTGTTAAAATGTTGCAGTGGCGTTTTTCGCGTTTCATCGATTTGCGGCTCCATCCGGAAGCATCCAGGAGGTCATTTCCAATTAAAGTTTCATATCTAAGTAAAGAACTCTGTAAACTCGAAATGTGGAACAAACTTTTCAACAATTCTCGTTCTTTTTTGCCACTCCAACTGGTCTCGCCAAGTCTGATTTGAGGAGCAATAATGAGAGACCGAATTTCAATTAAAATCTTTCCCATTCATCCCGACAAACTTTCCAAAGGTACTCTATTAAAATATTCCCCGTCGTTTCTTCAAGAATTCTATTGTTGTTTTAATTAGAGAGTTGCATAGGGGCTGGGAACTAATGAAATTACTATTTCATCGCGGAGTTTTTAAACTTCGCGAACACATCCAGACCCATTTAGGCAACTTCCCGAAAAACCATCTACTCAGTTTTAATTAGCTGAAATCAAGAGAACATTCACAAGATTCTATCTATATTTTAATTCGCTTTATTAATATTGACTCGTTGTGTAAGCGAACGATTTCATAATGAAATAATACATATCAATTGCATCTCACGTTTGTGCGTGATGAAATTTATTACACGTTGGGGGCATTAATAAGCGTCATTACGAGATTTACACTCTAATTGACGCCAGCTATCGACCTCTTCATCACCAGCTTAACACTCGAGTACTTCTGTTCGAAAAAACGGAGCTTCCTCGCAGGTACCAGGATCTGGTTTATCTCCAGAACAATCAGAAAACAGATCGTTGGAGCTGGTTCAGTTACGCCTGATCGTGTGATAAACAAGAGACGCAAGGGGACCTGGCTTAGTTTACATGTAGAAATAAATCCAAACTCTGCTACGCATCCCATTGTGTACAGGCATCTGCAAGCACCGGGTATCAGGTATCGGGAACGTGATACCCCTTAATAAAAGAACGTGTTAGGCAACCCCCAACGCACCTATAAATAAATAGCCGAGACCCAAATTTGAAACAAACAATCTTGTGCAAGGTATTTGTACCTTCCACTGAATCCACAATCCTAAAGCTCCGGTTTCCGGGTTTTTGTGTCCAAATACGTCAAAGCATTCCAGTACTGCAACAATTAACGACTGTTGATAACTGCGTTATTGTCAAAACGAAACGGCCGCAGGAAGCTCATTTTCGCATTTTTATCGTTTGGTGGGGTTAAAGCTGCTTCCAGAACTAACAAAAATGCTTTATTCCGACAAAGACGGTGTTTATGATTGACATAAAATGGTATTGTGTTTGGTAACTAGCTGTACTTAGTATGCAGTTTATTGGCATATGAGGATGGTAGTAAATTTAAACAGCCCGTAGGCATGCCACCTGCCGTATGAAGAATACAGAGGAGTTTGGGTTTATGTATGTGGGAAGGCGATGTGGCCATAATATTATATTTCTTATACATTTTTAATAAGGCAAAAATGTACAAGATGTGCTAAAAGGAGTGGCTTGAAAGGAGGCGAAAAGAGGATTAGAGCTAAAGAGGTGAATACACGTACCTAATCCGGGTAGGATACACTGGACTTTGGGGAATTTGAATAATGCGTCTCAGGGTGTTGATCTTTATGGGTTTTTTCATGTTTGTCGTCACCCTCTTTTCACAATTATCATTCTTGTTTAGTGAAAAGTTAAGTCGTAAATACGGGGAACAAAATCTTGTGGAAGAAACTATATAATTCGGTACACCTTGGAATTAGAATTGACGTTGTTTTCCGGTTTCCCCAAGGGAAATTTTTTGTTTTATGGAACGTTAATTGTGACAGAGGGTAGCGAAGTAGTTAAGAAGGCAATAAAATTGCCTCAAAGTTAGGTTAAAGCCAAAATGGATTACCCGAATTCTTTATGAGTTGGTATAATAAGACGCAGACTTGTTGTAGGTAATAGTAGATCACTTTTTTATTATTACACTATTAACGAAATAGCACTCCGTTAACTTGTTTATATTTGGTCCTGCGCGGAGTGCGGAGAAATCGGGTGAACGGTTAAATAATTGTTCCAAAAGTGTGAATGCATTCATAAAGCGTAAAGCTGTGACTGTTTCTAGTCATTTTTCCCGTTGGACATTGTTCTGAGCTACATTTTAGTAAGGACACGTATGTCAGTTCTGATACGTGCAGTACACGTGCGATACTAATAACAACATAATAGATAATAATAGTGTAAAAAAATGTGTCCCCAGGGTTCATCATCTGTTAGTGCTCTTGTATTGGTTAAAGTGTAATGATGGAATTTAGATTTTTTTGCGATTTGAAAAATTCTAAAACTGAAATGACGAAAAATTGGAAAATCGAAACATCGAAAAATCCCAAAACTGAAACATTACTGTAAATTCAGAAAACGAAAAAATGAAAAAATCGAGAAATCGGAAAGTCGAACTGAAAATTTAAAAAATAGAATGGAAAAATAAAAAAAAATTAAAAACGGAAAAATTGAAGAATAGAAGTAAAAAAAATCCATATATATTGAGCAATCGAAACATCAAAAATTTAAAACATCGAAAAATTGAAAAATCCAGGAATTGATAAATTACCAAACTTGAAATGTTTAAAAACTAAAAAATCGAAAAATCTAAAACACAAAAAGTCGAAAAACCGAGTTGTTGAAAAATTGAAAATTCGGAAAATGTAAAATTTGAAATATCGAAAAATTGAAAAATCGAATAAATGAATAATTGCAAATAAAATTTAAAAATTGAAAACTTAACAAATCGAAAAGCCCAAAAGTCGAAAAACTGAAAAACCGAGAAATCAAAAAATGTAAAACTTAAATAAATCGAAAAACTGAACCAGGGGCAAATTGAAGAATCGAAAAACTGAAAAATCGAGAAATTTAAAAATTCCAAGTGGGAAATCGAAACATTGAAAAATCGAAAAATCGAAACATCGAAAAATTGAAAACTGAAACATCGAGAAACGAAACATCAAAAATTCGAGAAATTGAGAATTCGAGAATTGGAAAAATCCAAAAAACAGAGATGGAAATAAAAACGGAAAATCTAAAAATCGAGAAATTGAAAAATAAAAAAATCTAAAAATCACAAAATTGTAAAAAACTGAAAAATGTAACCCCAAAAAATAAAAAATCCAGAAATCGAAAAGTCGAAAAGTGGAAAAATCGAAATTTGTATTGAAAATTCCAAAACTGAAAAATCGAAGAATAATAATTGAAGATTCGAAATATTGAAAAATTCCAAAACTGATACATTTCTAAATTGAGAAAACGAAAAAATTCAAAAATCGAGAAATTGGAAAGTTGAAAAACCGAAAATTTAAAAAATAGAATTAAAAAATAAAAAATCTGAAAAACAGAAAAATTGAAGAAACATCAAAAATGAATTGTTTAGAAATTGAAAAATCTAAAACACGAGAAGTCGAAAATTTTTAAAAATCGAAAAACCGAGATTCCAAAAAAAAGAACAAAAAAATCGTAAAATCGAAAAATTTAAAATTCGGAAAATGTAAAATTTAAAATATCAAAAAATGCAATAATTGCAAAATCTAAAATTAAAAAATCGAAAAATTAACAAATCGAAAAGCCCAAAAGTCGAAAAATTGAAAAACCGAGAAATAAAAAAATTCAAAATTTAAATAATCGAAAAACTGAAAAATTGAAGAATCGAAAAACTGAAAAATCGAGGAACGAAACATCAAACCCTCGAGAAGTGGAAAAATCCAAAAAACTGAGGAATCGAAATAGCTCAAAAACGGAAAATCGTAAAATCGAGAAATCTGAAAAATCGAAGAAAAAATTGCAAATAAAATTTAAAAATTGAAAAATTAACAAATGGAAAAACCCAAAAGTCGAAAAACTGAAAAACCGAGATCTTAAAAAATGCAAAACTTAAATAATCGAAAAACTGAACGAGAGGAAAATTGAAAAATCGAGAATTTGAAAAATTCCAAAACTGAAATGACAAAACGTGGGAAATCGAAAAATTCAAAAATCGAAAAATCAAAACATCGAAAAATTGAAAACTGAAACATCGAGAAACAAAACATCAAAAACTCGAAAAATTGAGAAGTCGAGAACTGAAAAAATCCAAAAAACTAAAAGATCGAAATAATTCAAAAACGGAAAGTCGAAAAATCGAAAGATCGAGAAACTGAAGCATTAAAAAACTGAAAAATCTAACTCCAAGCAAAAAATCGAAAA